TTGAGAAGTCCAAATTAATATACTTCATAATCATCACGAATTTATATTATAGCTGCATAAAAAAAGAATTTTTATACACGTCATTAATATTCTTGATTTCTCACGCACTTTAAGTAGGACTGCATGAACATCTTAGGTATGAAGCATCACGTCGCTACAACTTAAATTTGGTCCTTAAAAAGTTTTAAAAAGAGTGTGACCTCCAATTGCTTATACACATACATTGTAATGACAGAATTTTATGACCAAATTTTTTTATTGAACAAAAACAAAAAAAACAATTATCTGTACGCTGTTCTACTTAGTATGTATATACCAACCTGTGCGCGGCTTTGAAGATGGTTTTACTGTGAATTCTATATATCATCAAAACAAACATTGAAAACATACATTTGAATTTTTTTTGCATATGCATCATACATAATTATTTAATTCATTTGGTTCTTACATATACTGAATATATTAGCAACCCTTTCAAACGTCAACATACAATCATTATGACAAAACCAACCTTCATTACCTGACATTAGTTCTTATGCAAAAATAGAAACAAACTAAAACATTATTCTTTTGTATTAGCAACCCCCAAAAATTGTTATTTTAATTGTGTCCTCCTTTAACTGTTCACACCAGTTGTGTGCATGTACGCTTGATATTCCATGCACTATGTAATTGTACACTTGTGAAGAAAACAAACAGGGAGCTGGTCCTCCTTGAACAATTCATGCAGCAATAATTTCTCCTGTGACTTTGAATTCTTCATTGGTCAAGGCTTGTACATTCACTACTGGAAATCCTGTTTCGTTGAACAGCTTCCTCTGTATATAGTTGAGGCATTCTGTACGAAAAAATGTTATTACAGTACTCCAATAAATTAATTTTCTATCAACGCAAGTGTTGTACCTATTTATACAATATCTTTGGACATTCAAACACTAGTATACTATTTCAAAAATGTCACTGTTATTTACTTAACATTTAGTTAATCTTACCAGTAAAAAATTCACGACTCGGGCCACCTGTATCTATGGCTGGTTCTCCTGCAAATGATACTCTCAGAATACCTTCTGACTTAAAGTCCTTCTTCAGTCAGCTTTTCCACTCAATACGTTTTCCTCCACAATCTGAATTTCACAGTCTTGGTCATCAGATTCACATTCAACAACAGTATCTATATATGTCTCAGCACAAAGATCGGCATGAAGTTCAATTTCAGTACGAGGAAAATGCATCAAACATGCTGGACACTGGTGGCAGTGACCAAGTATTTTTCAATGCTGCCTGACGTCTGTTGCAATGACAATTTAGGTAGAGATGAACATGGGATTGTTGCATGTTTTGGTGATGGTAACTCTTGAATTCCTAAGTTGCTATTATCATCATTAGAATTAAATGGAACAAACAGAAGCTCTTTGTCTGAATGATGGTCTTCTTTGTAACAGGAGCATGTTCAAAATCATCTTCCAGACATAACCAGAAGTAAATTTTACAATAGGGTTTCAGTAGGTCTCGTTTGTATTCTCCAAGGGTAAAAGGTGTGTTACTACTTGGTAAATCTTTAACAAGAGTCATATCTTGATAGAGAATACATAAGTATCATCTCTGACAAATTGTTTAAAGTGCCTTGCATGCTTCTCAATTGCCTTTTCCAGCAATATCTAGGCATTGTCGTGTTCATTAAACAATACAGGAATAGTTGTTCCTTTGATTTTTCAATCTACTATCTTCAACATTTTCTCTAATCACACCTACTTGGACTTTCATTTCTTGTGCTAACTTAGCTTTTTTATTTGCTGTTGAAATGCTCCTCTATTTTCTTTTAGAATTTGAGAATTTAGAGCATCTATCTTGTTCTTTTTGTTTTAAAAATTCATGAAAGGTCATAGGACGTAAGTCACGAGGCATACTGTCATTACAAATGACGGGCGTAGAGCCACTTGCTGGAGGGCTTTGATTGTTAGATGTGCCAGAGTTGTTATAAGACTGGATAATGTTATTACACTGCACATGGGAATCTAAAGTTATTAAAACAGTTAATTTTACATGAATTCATTTCTTATTCTTTAATCTTTTTTATAAAGTTGAAAAATTCTTTATTCCAAAGTCTATTCATTTTAATTTACAGAGACTGGGATATCAATTAATAGCTTTATAAAATAGTAGCGAGAGACTTGTCGTGCTGAAATCGGATTCGTGTAATAAAAATTAATGCCCAACATAAAGTTCTGATTAGAGCCATAGAAATAGACAAAAAAAAACCAAATTGCAAAATCAAATTTATTGTAACGTTTTGTCTTTACTCAAGACATCTTCAGACAAATAATAAATAGGATGTTAAGACAAGATATTGTATTTACAAAAAGGTGTTAAATTACTACTAAAGGAGGCGGTGTCAAATGGATATATGATAGGGAAGTTAGGAAGTAAAATAAAGAGAAATTAAAAAAGTTTAAGTGGAATGGAATTTCCTTGCACATTAAGTGAAGGCTTGTATTGATTGATCAGAAGGCGCTCATGAATGGAGAGTTCATAAGTATCGTTGGAAGAGGAGATTATTTTAAAGTCGTCTAAGTTGGGGGTGTGTCCAGTTGCGTTAATGTGAGCAAGAATGCTTGACAACGCAGGGTGGAAAACTTGGTTGCCTGTAAGGGGGGATATTCCCAAGTGCTCCGAGAATCTGGTGTGTAGATGACGCGTGGTTTGACCCACATACGAGGCGTTGCAGCTTCGACACTTGAATAAATAGACTGCACCAGATCTCAGAGGTTTTGGAATTTTGTCCTTAAAGGGGAAGAAAGAAGAGATACGTTGGGAAGGACGGAAAAAAAATTTAATAGATACATGTGGGAAGGCTGCAGCACAAAGGCTATTGATTTGTGTGCGAATTTGAAGGGAGTGTATGCCGGTGAAAGGAAGACAAAAATAGATGGGTATTTTGTGAGCAGTCAAGACAGGTAGTTTGGGGGCAAAGGTGTTGTTAAGGAAGCGACGTGTGATTTGGTCAATTATACGTGAAGGAAAACCGTTTTTAGTGAGTGACTTTCTGGTAAATTCGAGTTGTGTATGAAAATTTTCGTAAGTAGAACAAAGGTTGAAGATGCGGTGAAGTAAGCAGGAAACTAGTGAAAGTTTGTAAGTAAGTGGGATGAAGCTGTGGAAGTTGGTGAAGAGGCCGGTGAAAGTAGGTTCGCGGTAGATGGAAGTGGTGAATTTTCCATTAGTGCGAGAGATATCAATGTCAAGAAATGATAGTTTTCTGTTTTGTTTGACTTCAGCTGTGAATGTGATGTTAGGGTGTTGTCGGTTAAGATAGTCAAGAAAGAGAGGGAGTACTTATATGAAGATAAGTACTTATATGAAGATATGTAGTTATATGAAGTTATGATCTTCGCACTTTGGTGTCCACCAAAGTGCGAAGATCATATCTTCATTTAATTTCAAACACTGCACTGAATAAAACATTCTTTAATATGAAGTACATATCTTAAAATGCAAATAAGCATTAGAAATTGGTTTTGTTTTCGCTAATATCTTTTAACATTAAAAACAAGTATTGAAATTTTAGTGGGTAAATAAAACCTTAGTTTGAAAAATGTTTGGTCGTGCTCAGCACGACCTCTAGTTACGCCACTCGCCTCTGGTTGTAAGAAACAGAACGAACCCTTTTATAGTGAAAAACACCGAATTTTGCTTTGGTTAGAAATTCTTTTTTGAAGAGTTCGCTTTTGTTGAGACTAGACGACACTGTATCTACAAAACAGTGCTATGGGTATCTAATGGGTACTATGCTTTATAAACATTTTAAATACACGATAGTATTTTTCAATTTTTTATTTTTAATGGTAGATAATGTTCAACTTGGCTATAAGACACCTTCAGTGTGATTGAATACGATATTTATTTCACACAATGTGATTGTTTGAAATATATAAGATAGAAAGTGATACATTTGAGGTAATACAGGGGCTACAAGGTTGCAGAAGCAGATTGTTGTTGCCATTATAGTAAAGTTGTTTTTCAACAGTTTTATCAGTAATCATTCAATACACAAAATTTGTTTGATTTCGTGTGTTCAGACTGAGTGCCCTGGCACGGTGTTCAGGCACGAGCACCAATGTGAACACAAAATTTTGATGGTGCCTCTGTACAAATGCCCGGGCCTGGACACCACGAAAGAGGTATTATCCAAGTACAGTGCTCAGGCACGGGCACCGATGTGAACGACGACTCATGAGTAACGTGTACAGAAAGGCATACATTCAGCACATGGTTTTAAAACTTGAAAATATGAAAAACTAGTGGGTACTACGTAGTGTGAACAACCTGCAGATTTTTGCCAGAACCAGGGTATCGTACTCCTGCAATTAGTCTGTACGCGCTATAATTGATCAATCTAACGTCAACTAAAAAATGAAAGTGAAACATAAGTGAGACATGAACTATTGTTAAACATCCATACTTATCAACTGTAAGTATTTTCCTGGGGCGGTTTTTGATACTTTTACACTTTACAAAGCAAGAGATATTGAAAAAAGTAGAAGGGGGAGGGGTAGTTGCCCCCCTTCTCCGCGGCCCCTGCTGATACTCACACTCAATAGATAAAATAATTTACAAATTGTTAGTGATTAGGGACAAAATACAAGATGTGCGTAGTTAGAGAAAGGGAGAAAATTAAAATTGTGAAATACTATTAAAATGTTGTACTTGTTTGTTCAGATCTGGTTTGTGTTGACGTATGTGTAGGGTTGGTTTGAGTTTAAAAGTGAATGAAGTGTTAGCATTGTCAAGGAAGCCTGATGAAATGTATTTAGATTTGCTTTCAGATTTTGTTAATGTTTGTCAACGTGGAGTTTTTTTCGGAGGTGGTGTGTTCTTGATCCATGTTGCAAAATTTCTGGTGGTTTCATGTATGTAACAGCTGTATCATATTTCAATCTTAAATCTGCGACTAAGATGGCTGGTAGTGAAGTTGAAATATGTCTGTCATTAAAATAACAAAATTGAAAAATGTTGTCGTTTATTTAAATGTTTACAAAATATTACATAAAATGAACATCACGGTAATCAATATATGCAAATATATGAGATTAAAGAGGTTTGAGATAGAGACGAAAACCCTTGTATAAAAAATTATTAATTTAGGCAAAAACGTTTCAACTTTTTGGCTCTCCATTAAACGCAACATACAGTGGTGCTGGCGGGATCTTTTTTTTGGGGAGGAGTGTAACACCTCCAAAATGTCACATAGAAACATCAAACCTTAAAACATGCATATTGAATATTATCAAACGAAAAAAACTTTTTAGTGAAAATAACAACTAAATTGGGACATTGTATAGTGTCGCAGTGGTTATATCGTTTAACATAAAAAATTGTTGGTATGACTAAGCTGTAAAATGTTCCTGAAGATCAGCTCTTGTTTTCCAGTCAGTCGACCTTATGATTTTGTGCACCAGAAGAGGCAATTCAGGAAAACGTTGCAAGAAATAGTCTACATATTTGCCTTCCTTGACATAACACAACAGATGTGTACGAGGTTTATCGTTCCAATGCTCATTCACGTTTCTTATGAATCTTAAACACCTTGCCCATGTAGGCTCGTAAGTCAGAGTTTTCTTTTTGCCATTCTTTTTAAAGGTTTTGAAAGCTTTCAAGACTTGATCATCGATACGTGTCCTCCATTCCATGGGATCATACAATTGTGCAACAACATCTGAATTTAGAGAACTTTGACGTTGTGATTGTATCATTTCCGGTTGGTTCCCCATATCACACAACATGTTAAACTTCTCTTTATCGGATTGTAGATAAGGGTGTTTTAACGCCTCGTTGGCATTTGGTCGTAGTTTGGGTTCTTTCTGTAGCATCCATAATAGAAGATCTTCAAGTGAAGCATCCTTGATTTCCTTTAAGCCAACAGGGTTTCCATCTAGCAAGTTTTTCAGTCTATACTTTAGAGCTCCAAAAGGATGTTTCCCTTTTGTTGCAACATAATAAGCCACCATTCCTGCATTCTAAAATATATAAAAACAGAACAGTGTCATAACAAGAATTCTCAAAATTTGGAAGTAATTTGCAAATGGTTATATTTTTACACCCACCATTACATCAGACTCTGGTTTGTATCGTGCTTTATCAACTGACTCTTCATTAACAACGTACGATTCAGGAGCAATCCAATCCTGAGTTCCCTTAGTAGCATCGCTTACATGTGTCTTAAGGCCGTCTTTCAATATTCGACTAAGACCAAAGTCAGCTATCAGATATTGTCCTTGTGCATTTCGAAGAACATTCGATGGTTTTAAATCACGATGAAGAATAGGATTTGGTTCGCTATGAAGATCAGCTAATCCTTTTAGTATTTGCTTGAGAATTTTGGGAAGAGATTTTTGAAGATCCTCCAAAGTAGAAGATTTTACAAAACTCTCCAGCGATTCTTCACATAGGTCAAGTATCAAATAGACATAATCAGTTCCGGTATCTTCTTCTAAATAGTTATAATTCACAACATAACTCGACTTCTTAGCTTTGCTTTCATTCAAAATTTTCATTTCGTTCTCTGCTTCATTGGACAAGTTATCTCGACGTACTCGTTTTACTGCTTTTCCATAACCATCCTTTTTCAGTCCAAGATAAACACGGGTTTCATTATTTCCTCTGCCTATGCAAAACTCGCCCGAGAAAATTACACGTACGTCGTTCACACATTCAACCTTGATATCTGGGTCGCGTCCATACTTAATTAATTTTAAGAACATCTCTTTGTGCTTTATTGATTGATCAAAATACTTCCATTCTTTCAACTGCGATTCTAAAAATTATGTAAAAGTATTACATTTAGGGATAAGGGATGAAAATATTCAAACATGTGGAAGTGAGCTGAAAGTAATTCATTGCACACAAGATTAGAATACGTACGAATAACATAATAGTATAGGCTCAGCTTTTTGGTATATTATTCAATGCATTAAAAGGTAATGTATTTATTTTTTTCAAAAAGGCTAATCTTAATTTCGGGCAGTAAAATGTTACTCAAGAGACAGATAGGAAATTCCTTCGAAATTGATCGGATATTACTTTCATTCAATGGTATTGTCAACAATCAGTCATAATGCCAATCTCTGTGATATTATATAGTACATTGGTAAACTATTTGAGATAAAAATAAGAAGCAACTTTATTGTAAGTAAACGCAGGGATATTTGTGGTTAAAAGTCCTGTAAACCGAGGGAGATTTAGCAAAAGAGACTTTTACTAAATCTTTTCATCGTCTGAGAAACCTAAAAATTTTTTTGACGGTTCGACAGGTGTAAATGCGTTTGCATTTCTCCATCCCAAATTGGTTGAAATCTTCTTAAAGTAATCGCAGATAAACCTTCCAGGTAGAAAATGAACATTGCCTTCGTTGATTTTCTTGAACTATATATTTAACACCAGAATGTGAACTTTAGGTGAAATTTATTGCGTTTCTGTCTGCTTATATAGCAGCCAAGACATCGTCATCACTGATCGATTCAATGCTGTGATTGTCCCAGTCAAACGCTCTGTAATACCTTTATGCTCTGGAGAATAAGAGCTCGTAGGTTATTGCACAAAACCTTTGAAGCACAAAACTAAAGAAATGTCTGTACCCAATATTCACCATAAATATCATTTCTTAAAGTATTCATGTTAGATCTTCTGTTTGACTTAAAGTATCGCACACGAATTCCTTAAATTTGGTCAACTGATGCTAAAGTGTATTTGGAGATAGCAGTTAAAGTAGAATCATTCATACCAACAGTCGATAATCAAATATACAGATCTGCATCGGTCAACAGATATGGTCGCCTCGGTTTCTTTTGTTGCAACAGAAATATTTATTAACGTGTTACCGCAAATATAGGAATGGCGATATTTAGTCGTAAACGTCCCTCCTCAATATTCTTTGACGTTACTAAGCCTCGCTTTCGTCAGCAGAACATTTAATTTCTTACATCCCTGAAAGCGTGAGTTTACTTATAATACAATACCACAAAGTATCACTTGCTCAGTAAAAACTTGCTTTGCGCAAATTTCGTGATGAAAGTCCTTTTCACTTTATTTGGCTTTCGGACTTCTTTGACTGCACCATATTTCATCTCACTGAGCATATCTTCCTCTTTGATCATCTTTCACTAATTTGTTGATAAAGTAACCCGTTTGATGTCTTTTGGCTGAATTGTCAAAATTCATTATTTTCAATTGTGTATAACATAACCACGGCTAGTTTGCGAATCACATAATATTTCTTACGTATTTCTTACATAATATTTCAACATCATAAATAGTCTAAATTTGGCACATTTAGTTAGTCCAGAGGAGAAAAAAGTAAAAACTAATTATGACTAGATACTACAGGCCTCTCGAAAGCCCGATCTCACGGGAAATTTGACCCCTCCCAAAAAAATTTAGCCCCTCTTCGGAAATCCCCCCTTTTGAAAACTTTAACTTTATCACGAAAATGGTGCAATTTTTTTCCAAAACTAAAATCACAGGCTATATAAGATGTTACAAATTATGTGGATCGATACATTTAATAACAAACAAATCAGAAAAACCATCGCACTTCAGCAATGATTGTTATCATGCGTAGGCGAACATGTTAATATTCAAGCGTCGAGTAAAGAATGAGTATAACTAAAGTAATGACTCATGAAAATCATTCCACAAATTAAAAAGCATAAAGGCTTAAAAGACTCAATCACTTCTTAACACAATCTGCAAACGCACAAAAAGTAATAATTTACGTTATTTAAAGCTCGGAAATAGTTAAGTGTTTACTAAAATCAAATTTCTACGAGTTTAAAAGTTATTTTATGAAACTTTTTGCAACAATGACAGATTTTTGTGTTATCTGCATCAGTCCACACTAATGCGTTTTCGAAATTAAAAGTTATTACCGAATTAAAAGTGTGTTAAATAATTAACTGCGCATGCTTATACATAAAGCGCACAGTTTTCGTGACATCTTACGCCATTAAAGATGTCTTCCATGGCGAGTAATTCATAATTTCAGATACAAAGTTATCCCACCACGCGCTTGTTCTTCCTGGACAAACCCAAAATTTTCCTGGCCTTCTTTCATATGGCTTATTTATTCGATAGTGGTTGTGTGAACCACTGGAAAAACCAATGTTCGAAGAGTCAAAATTCTCCTTTTATAAGTTATCAATAAAAGCTAGGAAATCAAAATATTAACCTCCAAAATAGGGATTAAACAAATATACAACCTCAAAAGCACGTCACTCAGGCTCGCCAAATTTGTATTGAATTTAAAAAATGCCAGAAAAAGTATTCATTGACGTCATCGTTCCCAAAAGGCTTCGTTTTTTTGACTGTCGACATCAAAGGAAAAACGCACGCATTTTCAAATCACTCCATTTTTAAGAGCGTTTTCATTTGGCAGCGTGTCCGTTTTTGAGCGCTTCAGTGTGGACAGATGGCCAAAAAGCATCAAAAACTATGAGTTTTTAACAGAAAACGCATAAGTGAGGACAGGGTTTTACACAGCGGGGATGCGTTTGCAGAATGTGTGTATGAAATGTGTAAGTCATTCAAGTCTTTGATTTGCTTTTTACTCACACTTTATTGGACGCGTGAATATTCACATGACGTCATCACTAAAGTGCTTTAGTTATTCTGATTAGTTTGATATTATGTGACTAAATGTATAGATCTACATAACTTGTATTATGTTAGATCACCTGTGATCTTGGTTTTGAAAAAAATTGCAGCATTTTTGAAATGGATGCTAAAGTTTGTAAAGGCGGATCTCCACTAGACGGAGAAAATCGCGGCGGAAAAATTTTATGCAATGTGATTGGTAGATGGAAAATGTCGCGGCGGAAAATTATTACTTCGCATCGCTGTACGAATAGTAGAAACCATTTCCACTATTCGAGGCTCGACATTTTTTCGCTAAAGAAAGAACCAATAAAAACGTCGTTTGCTTCTGATGAATCAGCACAAAATACAACCAAGATGGCTGACTTTACGTGTGAAAATTCTACTGAGATTCAATTGGAAGTTTTTGAGTCGGAAGGAGGATTATTCCAAGGTAACGACAATTCAAGTGTAGAAAGTCAAGTTCTTCTCGATTTTGATAAAGAAATCTTCATCGAGGCTGTTAGGAAATTTCGTTGTTTGTGGGATATAAACGACCATAGTTACAAGGATAGAAATGTGAAAGTTAATGCTTGGAAACAATTGGCTGTGTTATTTCAAAAAGATATTTCAAAAAGACTACACCGAAGATATCGAAATAAATGTTTTCTGCGGAGCAATAACAAAAGTCGTAAATTCATTGCAGCCATGATGCTCAGTGCTTTCAACGTGGAGATGTGTTTTCAATTCCGTCGCGCAAAAATTCTCCATACAGCCCGCCGCGACTTTTTCCGTCTAGTGGAGATCCGCCTTAAGGGGGGGCAAATTTCCGAAGTAGGACCATATTTACTGGCAAGTATTGCCACTGTGGAGACAAATTTCTTAGGAAATACTCTTTATTCATTGCCATGTACATTCCAAATATTGGAACATTCAAAACTTTATCAACAAGATAAACACTTTTTGGAGTGTGAGGGTCATACTTTGTCTAACTGTAAAAATCCTTACAGTTAATCATAAGCTTTGCACAAACGTTAGCCGCCTGGGGGCTGGGAGAGCTGAAGCCCCAACTTTTTGCAAAAAGTATATTTAGACTGAGCTGAAGTCGTTGTTTAGAGGTATTTTTTAGACTTAGCCTCGCACTTCATAACGTTGCTTCGCCGTAACTGCAAACACTCACTGCTTTTTTATCTCCATATTAATATTAGTATATGTTAAAAATATATTTGCGTTTTAACCATTTCATACCGTCAAAGGGAATGCTGGAGATAAAATTTTTAAAATGGTTAGCTTGTTCATGACAATCTTTGATACACTGATAAACAAACATGTTGCGTCAAATCAAACGGAGAAAATTTACACTTCGACTGTATAACCGGAATAACTGACTGACTAGGTTGCATTTTTTACACTTAGAGATCTTAGAGATTGATTAGCTACATCAATGACGAAAAAGAAATATTTTAATGGTTAACTTACTAGCAAATTGTTTTTTCAGATCAGGAGTGGATTTCCCTTCGATATACCTGATGATTCTGTGCACCAGAAGTGGAAGCTCCGGAAAAACTTGCAGGAAATACTTTTTATAGTTGCCTTCACTTGGCGGCAGTTGTGGATGAGGTTCATCTTGCCAATGCTTGCGAACGTTTTGTAAAAATTTTAAGCAGCCTAACCATGTACTGTCAAAGTCATTGAAACTGTTAAAAATTCCTCCGTCGATACGGTCCATCCAATTTTCTGGATCATTTAACTGCTTATGGACATCTGAGTTGAGAGAATCACTTTTCTCTTTCTCCAGTTGATTCACCAAATCACACAACATATCAAAGTTCTCTTCAGGAGATTGCAGATATGGATGTTTTAATGCTTCTTTAGCTGATGGCCTGTCTTCGGGTTGTCGTTGTAGCATCCATGAAAGAAGATCTCTAAGTTGATCATCCTTGATTTTTTCCAAACCAACAGGGTTTCCATGTAACAAGTTTTTCAGTCTATTCTTTTCAGCTCCAAAAGCATAATCCCCTTTTGTTGCAACATAATAAGCCACCATTCCTGCATTCTAAAATCAATGAAAAGGTGAAAGTGTGAACGAAATACCAATAATTGAATTTAATTATTCAAAGTTAAATTTCTACACCTACCATCACATCAGACTCTTTTTTGTAACGTGCTTCATCAACCGACTCCTCATTTTCACGATATGATTCAGGAGCAATCCAATACTCAGTTTCTTTGTTAGTGTTGCTTTTATATGTCCTAGAGCCATCCTCCAATTTTCGGCTAATACCAAAGTCAGCTATCAGAAATTTACCTTGTGCATCTCGGAAAACATTGGAAGGCTTTAAATTCCGATGAAGAATTGGATTTGGTTCGCTATGAAGATCAGCTAATCCTTTTAAAATTTGCCTGAGAATTTTGGGAAGAGATTTTTGAAGAACGTCCTCAGTAGAAGATTTTACAAAACTCTCCAGCGATTCTTCACATAGGTCAAGGATTAAATTGAAATAATCCGTTGCAGTGTTTTCTTCTAATAAAACATTCACAACATAATTCGATTTCTTTGCGTTGATTTCCTTAAAACACTTTGCTTCATGTTTTAGTCCAATGTAGTTATCTCGTCGTATTCGTTTCACAGCTTTGCCGTAACCATCTTTTCCCAGTCCAAGATAAACACGAGTTCCATCATTTCCTTTGCCGATACAAAACTCGTCTGAGAAAATTACACGTAGATCGCTCACTTGTTCGACCTTGTCATTGCCATCGCGCCCATACTCAATAAGTCTTTGGAATAATTCTTGATGTTTTGTTGATTCACCAAGGTATTTCCATTCTTGTAACTGCAATTCTGAAAATAAAGTAAAAGTATTACATTCATAGAGAGCAAATGTGCATGAATAATCAAATATAAAAAAGTAGAACAACCGTCATAAACTACTCGTTCAAAGAATATGTTCTGGAGAGAGTGGAGGATAGAAAATAACAAAAATACGGTTAAAATAAAACTGCCTATTTCATAACAAACATTTTTGTCGCGAACTACTTTAGTGAAACTGTAAAAGAAGTAGTTTCAATAAATTTTTAATATATGTCATTTCGTAGTAAAATTTGTCTTTTAGCAAAGCTGAGCTCATCTGATTCTGTACCTTTTTTCTTCTTTTTCCTATCTAGGTCTCGTAATTTCAGTTTCATGACGTCCATTGAGGAATGACGTCCTTCCTTTCCATATATTCGTATTAAACACACCATAGCGTTCATTTGTTTTTCTATATCTTCATCTTCTGTGACAATCTCCAGATATATTTCATAAATATCTGCTGCTTCCCTATATTGCTCCAGTTTCTCAAACAATTCTGCTAATTCCCATAAAACAGCCAACATTCCACTGACAATTCCAGCTGAAGTAACAATTGACAAGTTCTTCATGTAAAGGTTGACGAAATCTTTACTAACGTTGATACCACCAACTTTTCTTGGTCGTCGCGGTCGATGATGCTGTTCATGTTGTTGCTGTTGAGATTCAATAAGAGAGAATCCTTTTCTATAATGCTCGAAAGATTTCTCATAATTTTTAAGCCACTTGTTCAATCCTCCCAACGCAATATGGCAAAGACAGACCATTTTATCTTTCTTCAGGTCGTCCACAAATCTTTCAGTGGTAGAGTCAATATTTCCCAGGCCAAGATAAACTTGACGTTGAAAAAATTCACGTTTCACGTTTGAAGAAATCTTCAAGCATTCATCAAAACATTTCAGTCCATCCTTCCATTTATCAGAGAGGACACAAGCGTTGCCAGCACCAAAATATGCCATCATTTTGACGCTATTCTTGCTTGGAGGTCTCAAACATTCTATATAGTTTTTAATTGCTGGTTCAAAATCGCCATTATTCATACAACGATTCCCTTCTTTAAAGTGCTGTCTCACTGAGCCTGACCGCCGACCAAATTTCAATGAAGAAAAGACTTTACCCATGTATTGATCAGGTTGTTATTAGTTTCATGTGAATAGATGAATTTTCTTTGTTGTGTCAGTTGTAAACGACAAATATAGTCATCCAGTATAACTAAAGACAAAACAATCAACTCATTCATCAAAAAAGCTTCATGGGCAATTTCGAGTACTTGCAAGATTCGTGAATAAATCATCCCTTCTTGCAAGATGCAATTGAAGCTCAAGAACATTCTTAACATTTTTTTACTTTCATACGTTCTTGATTTTGTTGTCATTGTGTTTTGTTGCCATCCATCTTCGATCACATAATAATTTTAATTTTATTGAAATTTCTGTTTACGTTAATTTAATATTTAAGCATATCTATGTTTCGACTCATTACAAGAAAATCAACAGTTTTACTATTCAAACACAGCCATTACTGTTGTTTTTTTTTTATATGCCGTGTTTGATTAAACGGTAAGTCTGACGACTTTTAGCTTTTAACTTTCAAACCAAAAATCTACAATACAATTAAGCCAATCGATCTCAGAAAATGAAGAGACCGTTTTAGAAATGTAGCAATTACCTGTGTATGAAATTAGACAGTAATAAGAGTGTGATCAGAAAATTCTTATTTGTAACATATGTGAAAGTTATATAAACTTATCAGCTTTATTTTCGCTTACTTTCTATTATTTATTAATACCATAAACAAAATTTATCTATGAAAGTTTTAAGCAATCATATTATAGAAACAGACAGACCTGGCCTAATACATCCTTAAGGTCGAAATATAATAGCCAGAATATATCTGTTTTAAAATATATTATTGTTACAATAATTGGCTTTTGTAGAGATGGAGACAGATAATATGCGATAACTCGAAACTGTTTAAAACGTTGGCTCCAAACTGATTAGATTTTCTGTATTCTTTTGTTTTGTGCACAGGTGTTTGAGGCCACAAAAAATACAATACGCTGCTAAGTCTTGAAAATTTAAAATCCCTACGTCGATCTTTACTTGTCGTGAGTTTATGACAGTTTGAGCAACTTTGACGTTTTTGGACCCATCACATTACAAACATTAAACTATGACAAATACCTGTTTTGAAATTCGTGGTAGATCAAGATATTTTAAAAATGTGGTAATTTCAAAACACCACAACAGGAAATCGTGATCTTTGCTGGGGGAGATAGGAGGTATTTATTAAGTAATGTGTATGAATCTAAAGAAATGTGTGTAATGGACAATTTTCGATACAGTATAAAACTCATATTTATCCACAGATGCAAAACTAGTGAATCTTTCATTCGTTGGCAACGCAAAGTTTTTTTGTGTGTGTAAGGGAGGGGGTGGACAAACGTAACCAAAACTTCCAAAATTCTCATGATTGAGTTCGAACTTCGCAGCTACTTTCGAAAGCTCTCTATCGAATGTTTGCTTTGGAATCTTTGAAAGTTAGAAATAAATTTTTTGGTAATTAAATTTACGTATTAAAGATAGAAGCGTTTGTTAATAACAAATCTAACTAATTACGAACAGATTTTTAAAATTCTTAGGTAGCTAATTCAGACGCTTGATCGGCATTGTATACTTCTGAGGCTAAAATTCTGAGTACTTATATTTCCCAGAATATTCTTTTTCATAAGAAAATTTGCTTGCGTGGGCACTTCTCGCCAAGTATACCGTATACCTGGCATACCAATGTTCTCCAATGTTCTTCATGTGAACAGCAAACTTTTCTTTATTGTACTCATTTTTATGCGCCAAACATCAAAGTTAAACTGTTCAACGATATAAGGCAAAATTATGAACTTTATTTAGTCCACTTTTTAGTTTCAAAATTACAATAGAGGAAATTCATTTATGGATGTTTAGAGCAAGCAAATGAGAGATCTGACTAACATGTATGTGTAGTGTGTGTAGGGTGTTATATACCAATAGGTTAAAGATAGTGCAATTTTGGTTAAATCAATTCTCGATAATAAATATTTTAACATTTCCCCCCCTTTTAAGTTTCGTAAGTTTCAGCAACATTGAATTTAGGAGTGATTTACACCGTATAAGTGAAAAAAGTTTCTCAAAACGCTCCATTTTTAACGCTGTTTAAAGTAGGCCAAATGCTCCTTTTTATGGAACTTGTCAGTCGCAGGAAAAGTCTGGAACGACTTTTTCTATGCGTCCTTTGCGTTTTGCAATACGTCATATTGCACACACTATACTTATGTTTTAGCCCGATGCCTGCCTGTCTTAATCAATGCCCTAAAAGCACAAGCAACGTCTTTTGCCCGTTTTTAGTCGTGCTCACTCAGGCCGGCACGACCAAATTATATTTTCCTAAAGGGTTAGAAATGATTGGAATGAGATGTAAAATTGAGCAATTGTATCCCCATGAAATGTTCATAAAATCTCCCTTGTCTAACCGAACTCCTTTGTTTGGATTGCTCATTCAGCTTTTTACAAGACTGTCCATGCCGGATTCACAAGTTAAACATTTGTCATTGATCTATGATGTAAGTGGCATTTGTAATTCCTAGGCATGCTGATGAGCCCCGACATTGGGCGAAACAGCTATTTCAAAAAAATTATTTATTTTAAATAAATTAATGATTTGATTTGATTTGATTTGATTTGGTTTGAGATGAAAAAATGATTGTGAGAATTCAGATGTGATCGACTTTAAAATTTCTAGGAGTGCATCAACCATAATGACACCACCGACTTATGTTAGCAATAATCATTTTAGTAATTCATGTTTACAATCGCAATAGCACGACTAGTTGTTTTAGTCTAGCTAAGCCACTGATGTCAATCTTTGTTTTTTTCAATAAACCATGCTAGTTCAAAAAATTCCAAATTTAGACAGCAAAATTTTCCTGTAAGTGTATAAAAACAACACACACTAAACACATTTTCAACAAACCATGCTTGTTCAAAGACTTGCCAACTTTATGAAAACAATCGAAACTTAACGACAATTTAAAAACGTCATGAAAATTTGAACGATAAATATGATTTTCAATATCGTCATTATCCGAGCAGTAGAAGAAACTTGTTTTTACTTGGATAGGAAAATGATAATTTTTGAAGAATGCAGAAGTTAGAGATAAAGATTAAATCAATTTAGCTCAAACAAAAGCTTTAAGACAGTGTAAAATCTGTTCAAAGCGGCGTTGCAATACATTTCTTTGTTATAGAAGAAAAGATAATTAATAAAAACATATATTATTCATATCGTATTCATATTGCATTCATATCCGACTACAAGAGAAGAAGTCATTTTAAAATTCTCATCATTCTTGTTTTGCTTAGCATGGTGCATTTAATGAACCAGTAACTTTTATTTCTTTCGTTTTTCAAACATTAACGTATATATGAAGTCGATCATCGATATTCTTCAATATTTGCAATAGTTGTAATTTACTTAACGTTCACAAAGACTATAGGGATATAGCTACTCTTTAAAACATAGAGTAGACTGAAACTATGTGCCCCCCTCCTAGATATAGAAAATGGAATGCAAACTTGAAGGGACTAATTTAATTCAAATGCTGGAAAATCCAGATAATGTTTGATACACAGAATAATGTTTGATATACACAAGTATTTGACATAGGACAAGACATTTCCGACATTTTCAGTTGTATGATGAACTAATCGAAGACAAGCAATCGTTTCTTGTTAAATCATTTCATGAAAATGTTCATGAATGACAATATTTAAAGTATTAATGCAAAATGGTTTATATACATATCAAAAATTAAAAAATTAATTTAGACAACACCAAGAACAGTTTTCTCAAGAATTACATTTCTCATAATACAATTTGCTTGCGTGTCCACTTCCGCAAACGTAGTTCATAAAATTGTCATGAAGAAGAGAAAGTATACACGCTAACAAAGCTAAAGCTTCGTGAAAACGTTTAACATAACACTGTCGACATTCTGTATGTATGAAAGTTTAGTTGTGATTAAAAACGCAGCAGAAAAAAAACACTCTAATGCTATAGAATTGTTTGAGTCTGTATAGTTACTGCCTACAAACTTTATGTTTTTTGCTTGATGGGTAAAAAACCTTTACTTCTAAACTAAATCGGAGTATTTGTAAAGAGAGATATAAATAAGTTACATACACAAACTTTCGGCAATGAAAATTAACGTCTGACGCAATATAATTTTCTTAACGTTGTTAATATATACACCCTAAAAGAAATCACAAACTCAAGTATTTTTAAAGAATATCAGCCTTTAATTATGTAAAGAATACAATATAACAAAGTCTGGTAAACTTACAGATAAACCACTGGTCTCCAATCACAGTCTCTAATAGATATTTCAACAAGTGTATTTCTATAACGTTTTCCGTCAAGTTAGAAACATCAATAATAATGCCTTGTTTGCAATGTCGTCATAAAAAGATTATTTTAACAATGTAGAAATTTCAAATAACAGTAGGAAGTATTAGTCCGCATTCTATGCATTAAAAAATGGCTTAGTAAACGATTTTTGTTGCCCCCACTCGTGAACCCCGCTTCTTTTCAATTTTATTGCGTGAATACTTGGCTATTAGTGGCGTAGCTAAAGGTCGTGCTGGTCGTACTCAACACGACCAAACATTTTTCTAACTAAGGTTTTCTTAATGTACAAAAATTTCAAAATTTGTTAAAATCGTAACGAATGTAAGCAAAAACAAAGTCTATTTCTATGCGTCCTTTGCATTTTGCAATACGTCATATTTCACACCACATTTATGTTTTAGCCCGATGCCTGCCTTAATAAATGCCTTAAAAGCACAAGTAACGTTTTTTGCACGTTTTTACTCGTGCTCACTCAGGCCGGCACGACCAAATTCTATATTCCTAAAGAGTTAGAAACGACTGGAATGAGATGCAAATTGAGAAATTGTATCTCCATGAAATGTTTCAAAAAGTGTCCCTTGCTAAACCGAACTCCTTTGTTTTCATGCAAAGGTGTGAAAGGCGAGTTTCTGGTGCCTGAAAACCAGATTTTTCATTCAGCTTTTTACAAGGCTGTCCATGTCGGATTCACAAGTTAAGCATTTGTCATTGATCTATGATGTAAATGGCATTTGTAATTCCTAGGCATGCTGATGTGCTCTGACATTGGGCGAAACAGCTATTTCAAAAAAGTTATTTAGTTGAAATAAATTAATGATTTGATTTGATTTGATTTGAAATGAAAAAATGATTTTGAGAATTCAGATGTTAAAATCAGAATTAAAATTTCAAGGAGTGCATCAACCATAATGACACCACCGACTTATGTTAGCAATAATCATTTTAGTAATTCATGTTTACAATCGCAATAGCACGACTAGTTGTTTTAGTCTAGCTATGCCACTGATGTCAATCTTTGTTTTTTTCAATAAACCATGCTAGTTCAAAAATTGCCAACTTTAGACAGCAAAATTTTCCTGTAAGTGTATAAAAACAACACACACTTAACAACATTTTCAACAAACCATGCTTGTTCAAAGACTTGCCAACTTTATGAAAACAATCCAAACTTAACAACAATTTAAAAACGTCATGATCATTTGAACGATAAATATGATTTTCAATATCGTCATTATCCGAGCAGTAGAAGAAACTTGTTTTTACTTGGATAGGAAAATGATAATTTTTGAAGAATGCAGATGATAGAGATAAAGATTAAATTAATTTAGCTCAAACAAAAGCTTTAAGACAGTGTAAAATCTGTTCAAAGCGGCATTGCAATACATTTCTTTGCCATAAAAGAAAAGATAATTAATAAAAACATATATTTTTCTTATCGTATTTATATTGCATTCATATCCGACTGCGAGAGAACAAGTAATTTTAAAATTCTCATCATTCTTGTTTTGCTTAGCATGGTGCATTTAATGAACCGGTAACTTTTATTTCTTTCGTTTTTCAAACATTAACGTATATATGTAGTCGATCATCGATAATCCTTAATATTTGCAATAGTTGTAATTTACTTAACGTTCACAAAGACTATAGGGATATAGCTACTCTTTAAAACATAGAGTAGACTGAAACTATGCCCTCTCCCCCCCACGAATATAGGTAATGGAATGCAAACTTGAAGGGACTAATTTAATTCAAATGCTGCAAAATCCAGATAATGTTTGATACAGAGAATAATGTTTGATATACACAAGTATCTGACATAGGAAAAGACATTTCCGACATTTTCAGTTGTACGATGAGCTAATCGAAGACAAGCAATCGTTTCTTGTTAAATCATTTCATGAAAATGTTCACGAATGACAATATTTAACGTATCAATGCAAAATGATTTATATACATATCATAAATGAAAACATTAATTTAGACAGCACCAAGAACAGTTTTCTTAAGAATTATATTTCTCATAATACAGTTAGCTGCGTGTCCACTTCCGCCAACGTAGTTCATAAAATTGTCATGAAGAAGAGAAAGTATACACACTAACAAAGCTAAAGCTTCGTGAAAACGTTAAATATAACACTGTCGAAATTTTGTATGTGTGAAAGTTTAGTTGTGATTAAAAACGCAGCAAAAAAAAAACAACACTCGAATGCTATAGAATTGTTTTAGTCCGTATAGTTACTGCCTGCAAACTTTATGTTTTTTGCGTGATGGGTAGAAAATCTTTACTTCTACACTAAATCGGAGTATTTGTAAAGAGAGTTATAAATAAGTTACATACACAAACTTTCGGCAATGAAAATTAGCGTTTGACGCATTTAATTTTCTTAACGTTGTTAATATATACACCCTAAAAGAAATCACAAACTCAAGTATTTTTAAAAAATATCAGCCTTTAATCATGTAAAGAATACAATATAACAAAGTCTGGTAAACTTACAGATAAATCACTGATCTCCGATCACAGTCTCTAATAGGTATTTCAACAAGTGTATTTTTATAACGTTTTCCCTCAGGTTAGAAACATCAATAATAACGCCTTGTTTGCAATGTCGTCATAAAAAGATTATTTTAACAATGTAGAAATTTCAAAATAACAGTAGGAGTACATTTTTTTGAAAAAAATGCTATATGTTCTCCATGGGGGGAGAATGAATAATTTGTGGATTTAAATGTCCTTCAAATGTATGAAAAATAAATAGAAAGATATTACATAGATAGTAAATTCACCATATAAAGTGAACCATTTATAAGTCTGAAATAGCTTGTTAATAAATCATTCAACTTCAATTTTCTTTCTCCTCATCGCTATTTTCAAACTGAATAAAAACTGGTTCTGGTGGTAGGACTTGAACACCATTTATCGGCACATGATGTTTCTTTCTAAAACCGCTGTCATTATGAGTCCACGATGAACTGCTCGTTTCTTTATTAAATGAACCGACGTTTTTTCTATTTTCCATACCATTCCTCTCGCGCGTCTCACCATTTCGTAAACGCTGTTTATAGAAAAAAGAAAATGTTGTATGATAGAAGACAATCTAAAGCAATGATGTGAAAGATTTTTGAAACTTATGTTAAGTAAATAGAATAGACCCATAGCAGTGCAAGGAAAAATAAATAAAACATCAAATACATTTACTTTATTTAACATATAAATACCTGTAAAGTTTCTTCATTATGCTTTTCTTGATCTGATTGGCTTCTCTCTTCAACAACAACCTCCCTGTTTTCTTAAACGTTTCTTTCAATTTTGTTTTTAAATGATTCACATTTACCACGGGAATATCCATCAATAGAGATATCTGATTGGCTCTTGCTTGGTCGTGGAGTAGTGGGCAAGAATTTGGAAAATTCACTACCACGGACAATGGACATGATTTCTGGGTCATGTGATTTCTCTTTCCACTTTTTGTCGGAAGAAATCGCTTGAAAATTTTGATTCTTAATTGGGTCTTTAAAAACAGGACACGATCTATAATCTGCTTCTGACGCATCCGAATGTGAGATTAGAGACCAGAAGTCTTCTAATAAGTCGAGGTTTTAGCATTTTTGGACGGTTTTCAACTATGTAGTTTTTACCATTAGAAAAACCATGACTTTCAGTTTCGCTAACTTTTATTTCTTCATAATTTTCATATCTAGACGGCGAATTTCTAAGGTTTATTGTCCAAGCAGATGGTAAAGGTTTTTGTCTGCGAGTAGTCGAAGATGTAAAAGATCTTTTGTAGTTCAGTCTTGGGTGATTTCTTGGCAAAGAACTCCTGTGTCTATAAAGAACAATGGAAATTTTAGAAACTTTAATTACCAAAAGAAAAGGACAACGTGTGCATTTGATGAAATAAAGCATAGTAAGCCATTCGTTGTTTAATAAATGTCAGAGTAAGATTCCATGTGCAGTTGACTTCAAGTCAGTGCCTTGTACTGCAACCAAGCAGTAAGAGTATAACTGCTCTGTTGTAGTACAACTGACCTGTAATAGTACGACTTTCCTGGATGATCAAATGTTCTCACAACAACAACAGGTTGTTGATGATGAACACTAGACACATCATCGCCATATTGACTGTAGCCAATGTTGGTATGATTTCTTAATGAATCACTGGGCATCATGTTTCTTGAAATGTTGTTATGTGACGTCATATTACGTGACGTCATTGTGGCTGCCTCCTTAGAAGAGAAGTTGACTGGCTGTAATCTCTCTGTACGTTGTGGAGCATTGGCTTTTAGCTTCACATATTCTCCATATTTATCATCAATATTGAAATTACCACTTTCCTTTTTTCTGTTTTCATGAAACTTTGAAGAAGACTTCCATTCTTCGACAACACGATCCTCATTAGCAACTCGTCCAACATTAGATACACGATTCTCGTGGGAAACAATATTCACGTCGTCCACACGACTCCATCCTTCTCCTCAAATTCAAGACGACGAAGCCTGGATTAAAACATTGAACACATTTTTCGTGAAAGAAAATCAAGCGAAGTGATAACGGTAAATAATACGACAGGTTTTTTTAAAATCAACATGTTTCAACATCTCATTTGCCATGTCGTTTTTAACATCTCATGATGCCATGTCGTTTTTATCAAATGTGCTTCATTAATAGTGCTTTTACGTAGTTACGATAACGGTGATTATAGAGTTGGTAGCAATTGCCAAACATCTAGGATGTGACCACTATTTTCATTATTTTCTACAGAATCTTAAACAAAATTGTGTTAAAAACTTACCTCTCGAAAAAATATCTTGAAATAATTCTCTCTAATAAACGACCATTAAAGTTTGAAAAACAGATAAACCAATAGCAATGGCAAGCGGAAACAGATCTTAAATTCTCCTTTTATTATTCCATGCAGTGATTCTCAAGACTCAGTTCAACAAGTAAATATTGACTTAGAAAAGATATCCTTTTTCCAGTCTTCAAAATGTGAAAGTAGCCATATTCTTTGCAATATTGTACATTCATCCATGTTCTAGAAAAGTGGATAGAAACACGAAATTTGTCGATTCGAAACGAAGCATTTTTTTATAAATTTTTAGTAAAAGTTTTCGATATTGAATTAAAGGTTTAGATTTGCAGACTCACAGATTAGACTTCGGACACCGGCAAGAAAAATGAAAAGTCATTTCATACATACGCAGTACGAAACTACGAAACTAGATTATTTACGATAATAGTTATCGTTAATAGACGATGAAATCATTGCATATTTCATTCGTTAAGGAAAAAACAACATGTACGCCGAACGGGGGAAGATTTTCACATAAAAATAAGCATTCAACAAAGTCTTGTTTAATGTTTAAAGTTTGATATACAAGTACTGACCTGTAATAGTTTCACTTTCTTAGTAGAACAAAAGTTCTCACAGTAAGAACAGTTGTTGGTTTTGAACATTAAACACATCATAACCATGTTGACCAACATAGTACACCTTCTCACTAGCGTGTTTATTGGCTGTAAACTCTTTCTTTAAGTCATGGAACATTGGTCCTTAAATTCACATATCCTCCATAATTATCATCAACGTTGCGATCATTGCTTTCCTGTTTTTTTTGTTTTCATGAAACTCTAGGTTAGACTTACATTTCACAACATGGTACTTGTTAAATACACGTCATCGGGAAAATAGAATTAGCTACGTCACCTACACGAAATGATAAAGTTAGAGCTGATAAATAATGTAAAACATTTACGTTATCAAAAGAAATATAAATTAAGTGATGGTTAAGTACTACATTTTTAAAGTAACTTTGAGCATCTTTAAGTTTCTGTTGTAGATTTTTCTATCATAATCGCAAATATCCATCAAATTTTATTTAAAGAAAACAAAGTTTCAACACCCTACATGGCCTAAAATGAAATTTTTCCACCTTTACGATTCGCAACAGGGGTTCTTTATTGAGTAAAGATTGCTGCATTGATGGAGCCAACGACAATAATAAAATCTTCTATAGTGACTGATATCTTCATTATCAGTGTCTGTCTCAATGATCATCAAAATACCTTTAATTTCACAGAATTTAACAGCGAATACATCCTACCCAAGATATTTCATAAGTCCTTGAAAATTGTCTGCAAAAGAAATTATTTCTATTTTGAAGTTCTAAAATTTACATTCAGATATGATTTGGCTAATATCACCAACATATAAAATGTACATGAATATTAAAAGCCAAACATTTTACCAAAATGTATTAATTTGTAATACATTCACTTTTGTCTAAGCTTTAAATAGGGAATAACTATAGATTCACAGTGTAAATGTCGCACAAGTCACAGCAGAATCACCCAGTACTTAATTCTTATACTCTATTCATAAGTATATGAATTGACATTTCGCAATTCCTAAAATCACTTTCGACCACTTGCGATGCACTAAACGCACAGTAAATACAAAAATCTAAAAAACTTTATATTTTATCTAAATTTTTAAATCTCATCAACACGCCATAATTTTAATTTTACTATTTTCAACTTAACTTCTTATTTAGATCTACTGGATGAAAACTGTAAGAAATCGTGGCGTTTTCATGATATTTAGAACTGGAAAAATTTTCCTGTTCTTGTGTCTAGCTGCTGTAGTAAAATGCTTTGAAGTCAAAGCAAACAGAGTCGACAAAGTTTCAAACATACAGAAAATTAAAGATGGTGCATAGTGCAATTGACATAACCAAACTGAGTATGTCGAAATTACGTAGAACATAAAGATACTGATGACAAGTGTGAACTATAATAACTAACCAAACGTGACATGAAGTGTTAAGAGTTTGAAAATATTTTCATGCTTTCATGAACATTTAAAAACTATGATAAACGTTCTACTTTGTCAATTTTGAAATGTTTGTTTTTAGTTACATCAATCCTGTATTATGACTATTGTCCAGCAAGATATGAATTGAAACAACATACCAGAAACAAGAAACAAGGTATGTTTCTCATTTCAGGGTGATAGTTCAACAAACTTGTAACGAAAATTGCAATTCACTTTTCCACCTTAATTCACAATTTCACACCCTGAGATTCATGACCAGTGTAAAATGGCCTTTCTGCCTAATTAATCACAAAAGAATATCATGCCTTTAGTAAAGTGAAGACAGTACATACATGAGCAGTGCATTCATATTCAAAAACTGACAAAAGTCTGTTTTGATCAATGACAGTTGCCCCACAAAAAAACATTGTTGCAATATCAGTTCATAATTGATAAATTTAAACACAAACCTTCATTTTCAACAACATAAACAACATATACAGTTGAAATAACGAAATCATGTTGCAATGACAGGAATGTCTTCAGGAAAACTGACCTGAAATTAGCAATTACTTGATTTAAGAAAGTAAAATGCAGTTATTGTTTGACAAATATATATTGGCACATGATACATACTTAAAACTAATCAACTATATAAATAGTCTTCAATACATCACAAGTGTATGATGTCAATCACCAACAATTTGCATATAAACCATTCACCTTTCCTTGAGCTTTAAAGATATAATCACAAACAGAGCATCCTAAAACACTTCTCCAAATTTTTTCCAGAAATATATTCCGAAATATACATGAAAAACATCATATGACATGCAGTCACCATTTTTAGTGGACAATAATGTTGCGATAAATAAATGATTGAGGAGACTGAAACTATTGCATTCAAATGACACTTGGTAACACCTTTCTCATGTCAAAACTTTTAAAATTTTGTCGCCAACACCAGCGAATATCACACAATTCTCATGATATTTTTCATTATATCTGTGCATTAATCATGTCACATAATAACTTCCTTATACCTTCCCTTTGTTCAAGCTTTCCCTCGTACAAAACCAGGAAAGGAGCCAGTCCTGGAGAGGAAATAAATATGTAAGTCATAACGTTATAACCAATACGGTAATACTTACTAACCTTGACAATTATTGTAAAATCCACAAATAACAAAACCTGTAAAAAGTTCGCAACATGAAATGATATTTCCCGTTTATTTAAATTAAAAAATGGTTATAAAACTATTTTCATTTAAGTTCATTTCGTAAATATTTATTATATTTCTACTAACAACGATGTTTCCATTTAAAAAAATTAACATTCATGTTACTAGTCCCCAGTCCACTTTAGACTCACCAACATTACCTTCTTATCTTCAGTTGATGTCAGGATTTTCTTCTCCAATTTTAATAAGATGACGCATGTCCTCCATACCGCCTGCCTTTATTTCTTTCATAAGAAGTAGGTTCGGCAAAAAGGAAGAAGCTCAAATCGAAACCACTGAAACCATATCCTTCGCCAAATTCTACGTAAACCAAAGTTATCACTCGATTCAAATAAATCTCCTTAAACGAAGAAGTTAAAATCTAAGAAATCGGTCAGGAAATCATGAAAGAAAAACATTTATCACTCAACAACAATGATTATTTATAATGACCAATGATATCACCCACGTTTCGATAAATTTACAAAAAATTTACTAAGGTTTGTTTAATTATTTTATTACTCTTGATGTCACAAGGTTACACAAACAAGTTACAATAACGGTTAACTTATGCGATGTCTTTCAGGATTTCGAAGCTGAAACGAACAAAGGTCCCATGAAATTTCACCAATTCTTAGGAGACAGGTTAGTGTAAATGCCTCGAGTCATTTTCTTGCACAATAAATCCACTTCAATTAGCACGCGCTAACGATATAATAGATAGCATAGTCGTATAGTCGTATTTGACATATTTATATTATAAAAAATATAACTATTAAACCAAGCATACAAATGAATATGAAATAATGAAAGTACTCAATTAATTTACTCAGAAACTGGTGTCTGTAAAACTTGACTATTTTTTCTTCTGTACCTTTATATTAGCCACAGATGCAAATATAGTTCTATAGCTGTATTTAATTGTAAAATACAGCTCGATCACTAATAATTATAATTTTTGAATACACCCTTTTCATGATATGTAGCGACGGAAATCATGTTGAAGATAAGGACATTTCTAAAACAAGTTCTTAGCTACAGTAGGAACTTTCGCAAAAAAATTACGCAAATGATAAATTAATGAATAAATTATAAACAAATTGATAAATGTAAATATAAAAAGAACATAAGTTAAATGAGTACATAGGTTTTAAATGATGCATATATATGTTCTTCATCACAAAGAGTAATCATTTAGTGCCACGTAAAAAGTCTTTGAAGGAGACATTTTGGAGAAGTCCCAAATTTTCTAAACCATCTTCTAATCTCATGCAAACATAATACGTCTCGTTTTTCTTGTTCACTGCAGCAACTCCATACGCAAATGGTATCTTTTTGTTGTTTTCATCATAATAATAGACTAGGCAACCAAAATCTCCAGGCCGGAGGAATTCGTTATCACTCTTTACTGCCACTACATTACGAAACACTTCTTTTTTGTTGTCTAAAACGCTACGATTGAGGTCAGCAATGACGTTCAAGCCAAACTCGTTGCCAACTTTATAAACTTTTTCATTTTCCTTCAATAACAAATTATCAAAGACAGCATCAAAAGAACTCGGCATCTCTATTTCAGCCGCAGTAAATTTATTTTCAGAAAATTGTACAGCTCAATATTAGTGCAAACTAGGTAGACAGTAATGAGTAATTGTAAACAAACATTAAAAATACTCATTGCAGATACATTTCACAGATATAATAATACACTAGATAGTGCAACGGCTTACATTTCATAAGTAGTGGTTGAAGCCGGGCAAATTTACTTCCGGAGCCCCAAAGTAGTGAGAATCAATATGGCGTTGTATTAGAAAATATCTGGTCAAAGCTGATATCTTGCAATTACTTGCAAGTCACGACGGTTACATAAACTGGTTTACTCTATTAATGAAAAAAAATCAATGTGACCATAGTTTTTCAAGAAAAAAGATAGCAGAATACGCCAATGCATCGCCGTAAAATTGATTTCAAGTGTAGCTCGATTTGAAAGCATCAGCAGCGACGAAGGCTTAAGATACTGGAATTTGCACATCTAAATATCGTATCACAGCACAATCTGCCACAAAATGTTCAATCGAACGTCGTAGAATTATCTTCCGATATTTACTGTTAAGTAAAACGAGTTGGAGATAACAGTTTGAAAGATTTTTCACGATTTATATAAAGTATATTGTTCACTGTACATAATTAAATATTGCACTGGATTATTGTACCAGAAATGCATTTTTCCGGTGTTTCTGGTCGGCAAACGAATATAGCTATGTCACGATGTGAGTAATTAATACGTTCAGAAATTATTTACAGAAAGAATGTGAAGAGTCTACCTCGAAGAGTCTATGTCTTGCTTGTCTATGTCTTGTCTATGTCTTGCTTGTCTTGCTTGTCTATGTCATAGAGTCTGTCTTGCTTCTTCGAATTTGTTTTATATTATGAGTCTACCTCTGTTACACCAAATTTTTTGTGAAGTATAAAATAGCAGGTCACTTGTGAAACTGTTGATACCACAGGTTGATACAATACACTCTGTCCAACACGGGGAAAATATTTACTTGTTAAAGCAAGAAGAGTCACCAGACTTGTAGTATTGACTGTGTTTTACACATATATATAAACAATGTATTGTCATAGTCTAAACCAGGGGGTTATATGGCCACTGCCCACAGTGCTGTACTGTTATGGTGATGTTATGCTACTGTTTTCAACATTTTTGTCTTTTTTACCATTCAGGCATGTATATGCATATAAAACTTTCTACACATTCTTGTTATTGAAAATATCAAACCTAAATTATCTATTCTGAGCAAAATATTTAATTTGTGCTTGTAACATGTGTCAATTTCTGACTGATTTTGTAATATGCCTGTTCTATTACAATACATCCATAGATCGAGTATGATATCGCTGTATTTGCCACACGAACTAAGCCACACTATCGCAGATTGTCCTGTGATACGATATTTAGATGTGTAAATTCCAGTACTTAAGCCTTAGTCGCTGCTGATGCTTTCATATCGAGCTACACTTGAAATCAATTTTACGGCGATGTATTGGCGTATTCTTCAATTTTTTTCTTACAAACTATAGTCACAATGATTTCATAAATACTGCAAAAAAGTTGATGCAACCTCCGCGATTTGCTAATAATTGCGAGATATTAACTTGGACCACATATTTTCTAATACAACGCCATATTGATTCTCACTACTTTGGGGCTCCGGAAGTAAATTTGCCCGGCTTCAACTTTATGTCAGTTGCACTATCTAGTGTATTATTAGATCTGTGATACATTTTCATTCAGTGACTATGTCCGCATGAATTTAGCATGATAATAACGGTGAAATGTTGAGCATTTCATATTTTTACTATGTCTCTAAAGTTAAACTAGAGTATTTTGTATATCCTATAATTCTTCTTAAGTCGATATTTATTGATAAAACTTACTTTTGAAATTTGTCTTTGTTGTAAAACGTCTTCCTGCCAAATGATGTAACTGAGCGAGTGTCTGGAATTATGTATAAACGTTTGCAGGTAAATCCATGACGACGGCCGTCTACCAATGAAATTCCCTGAAATAGAAACGTTTAATAAATTGCCATGTTTATTTTGAAATTTCAATCCTTAGTATTTAAACTGAACACTGACACGCAGTTTTCTCTCTTTATAGGCCCGTTTACACGAGCAATTTTAATATGAAAATTTTTATGCGACAAATATATTTGACCGTGTAAACGACACAAAATATATGTAAATATATCTGTTCCCATGGCGATTGATGTATTGCGCCCATTGTAATAATGAACAGTTACATGTACATACTTCATTTTACGACGTACTTTTAATGCAATGTTTGTGCAAAAATGGCGCTGACCAAGGCCAAAAAACTTCAAGCAGTAGCTGTTATTACATCTCTAATGGTGCACGAATTGAAAAAAAAACGAAAGTCACGACGATGGTGGGTAAAACCGTGGAAAACTGCGCAGCGCCGATACGCACAAGGGTTAGCACAAAATTTAATTCAAGAGATCCGAGTGACTGACCATGATGTATTTAGAAATTTGTTTCGGTAAGTTAGGAAATGTGATAGTCTTTTTATTCATGCACTCTTCAAAATTAAGCCAGTCAGTGGATTGTACAATCAATTCAAATTTTACGTTCTTTTTTTAATAATGAAATTTTCTTATTTTCTTTACTTTTATTTACAAATTATAATCGTTACTACTTTTAAGGATGGATTCCATTTTGTTTGATGAGCTACGTGAAAAGTTAACACCATTCATACAAAAGAAAAACATCACTATGAGAGATGCTATATCTGCTCATGATTGCTTGTGTGTAACATTAAAATTCTTAGCATCAGGATGCTCATACAAAGATTTGATGTACAGTTTCAGAATATCAGTTTCATCTATTTCAAAAAATTGTACCTGAGGTCTGTGAAGCTTTATATAATGTGCTGAAGGAAGAATATTTAAAGCCACCCACAACAAAGCAACAATGGTTACACATTGCTGATGAATTTAAGTGCAAATGGCACTTTCCCATGCAGTTGGCAACATTGATGGTAAACATATCAACTTGTGTGCACCTCCAAACTCAGCGTCTGGGTGCTTTAACTATAAAAAACATTGTAGCATAGTCCTCTTGGCTATTGCAGATGCAAATGCTAAATTCATCTCATTTGATCTTGGAGCCCCTGGCAACCAGTCAGATGGAGGAATTTTTAAAGACAGTCACCTTAAAAACATATGCAAGACATGCTATTTCCCACAAGCTGAAGAACTAAGAAATACATTATTGCCTATACTTTACTTTCTGCTTGGAGATGAGGCATTTGCTTTGAATGAAAATCTAATGAAACCATATCCACACCAGACTGCAATAGGTGATGAGAAAGTTTTTAACTATAGACTTTCACGAGCACAAAGAATTGTCGAAAATGCATTTGTATTGATGTGTAGTCGATTCAGATGTCTTTTGAGAACATTGGAGTTGGATGTTTCACATGCAATGCAGGTGGTGAGGGCCTGTATGGCATTGCATAACCTTTTGATTAGTCAGAAGGACAGGGTCAGGGAAGGAAATGTTGTGAATGGTTCTTGGAGAACACAATTAGGCAATGAAAATGAAGTATGTGACATCCAGCCAAATGCCAGTGCTCGCCCATCATTAATTCATGCAAGACAAATCAGAAATGCTCTTAAAGACTATTTCTTTGAAGAAGGGGCAGTTGATTTTCAATGGACAATGACAAACTACAAAATTATAAGAAAGTTTACTTACGGTTACATAGAAGGTAATTATTTTGCAGGAAAAATTGCTTGGTAAAGAAATTGGGATATTAAACAATCTAAGGAATTCATTCAATTTTACGACTTTTTTTTCGTAAGTTCCAATTTTTCCAAAGCATCTTTTAATCTCAAGCAAATGTAGAACGTCTCCACTTTTCCGTTTTGGTCTTTCTTCCTCAATTCAGCAACACCATATGCAAAACGTCGTTTTTTCTTGTTTTCATCATCACAAAAATACACAAGAGATCCTGAATCTCCGTCCATTAGAAACTTAACATCACTTTTTACCAACACTGCGTTACAAAATACGGGTCTTCCGTCGTCGTCATCAAAATTAAACATTAGATCCTAATGTTTCCAAAAATTTCTTGAGCTTTTTGAACAATGCTTTTTTCACCACGATGCTTTCTAAGAAAAAGCCTCGACAATACGCCATGAGAATAGTTCTCCATTTCATCTGAATTATTTTCCATTTTAACTTCATCAACTTTGATGGCCATGATATCAGTTTCACGTCCAAAATCAAAATGGGAAAAATTACCAACAACTTCGTCATCATCTGAGAGATAATATTTATTTTCTTCCATAAATCGCTGAGTGGCATTTCTGTTTACTTCAATTTCATCTTGACTTGCCAAAAACGGGTTAACGTCATCTTTCCGTATCCGGCCAATTTCATAACCAACGTGGAAACAGCTCAACGCGTATTGTTTTCCATCTTTCAAGCGGAACATTGTCAAGGTACCACTGGATCGCATGTAAGGAATATCATCGCGTTCCACTCCCAGTCACTTGTTGGATAGAGGTCGAACCTTCCACACCTTTGACGGGTCGTTTGGTCGGAATTCGATGTACTTTGAAGCTTGCCAACCAAGTTTCTCGTTGATTTCTTGTTTCATATTATGATCAGTTATTCCGTTAGCGTAATCAACGACCATGTACAAGTGAAGATATGGCATCTGATCATTTGGACCCGCTGTTCCACATTTTCCACAAAACCAATCAAAGCTGCAAATGTGGAAAAATCACGGGAAGATTGAACAATAAAGCAGAAAAATATCTTCGCGTGGATAAAAACTCAACTGGAATTGAAGGAATATCAAAAAAACACAAATAGTAAGATTTACCTTTTCAATTTCTTATGAACGTCATTGCTCATTTTGAAATCGTCGGTGAGAAATTTTTTTTGAAGAATTGAAAGTCAACGGTACCTACATATCCTCAGATAGTTGCATAAAATTAATATCAACGGTTAAACATGCAATCCATGGTAAATAAAGTGTCGATTTTTCCTGTAATTTCCGATGTCAACCTAGCACCAGTTGATGTGACTGGATTCTTTCCTATCAATACAAATTTATGATTTTTAGTTGTTCTGAGTGTGCACTGTTTTCAAGTCTAAGATAATGATAAATCATAATCATTAAATACCATTAACATTTGACGAGAGTTTCATGTTTTTTAATTTTTCTGACGGTGGCTGTTGATGAACACGGGACCAGTGAGACCTCTCCCAGAAAACTGTACAGCTCAATATTAGTGCAAACTAGATAGACAGTAATGAGTAATTATAAACAAACATTAAAAATACTCATTGCAGATACATTTTCATTCAGTGACTATGTCCGCATGAATTTAGCATGATAACAACGGAAACCAACAATTATATACTTTTTCGGAGCCCATTTGCAGATAGTTGAGGTGTTTTTTGATTGCATAACAAAATAATGTGTTAATGAAAACTATTAGTAAGAAATAGCTTTAGGTGAACTTATGTAAGGAATTCTCTTTTCAATAATACAAAACTTAGGTGCACCTTTACGTGAAAATACGATCTTTGGCCGACTCTGGCCAGCATGGGTGCAATCTTGTGTGAAGCAGCTGGTCTGAAGGAACTTGTATTGTTTTTCCAAAATGAAGCAGTTCTGAAGTTCAAGAATGGTTTTGGTTGCTAAAATTGTTCCTGTTTGCGCAGCCCTCCACTTGGCAATTGATTCTGATCCTATTTTCAATTGGGTAAAAAGTTTAATAATTGATTCAAGGAAAGATACAACTTCTGTATGTTTTTCATGTGTGTAGAGACTGAAACCCATTGTTGAAGAACGTGAGGTCATCAGGTTGTACCACAGACCAACTTGATCACAAAACCATGCTGTAGTTGTGGCATTCTTGAGCAGGAGTTTTTCCTGAATAAGAAAGCAAATGGCTGCCCTAGTTTTTCTGGATAGTAGATTCTTAGCCATGCTCACTTTCATTTTTTCAAAATGCCCAGGATCACAGCATTTTTCATTCAGGTGTGGTGCAATCTTTAGATTATGCAAAGAATCATAATTAACCAGCTTTTTGATGTGATTTATTGTGACTGTATTTGTAGGTAAATTGCACTCAGCAATGGCATACTGTGGGATGAAAAATGTTTGTCCACGAGTCAGATGATTCCTGATATTCTTCAAAACATGTGGAACATCAGGCATAAATGTAAGTCTCTGACCCTCAATAACAGGATGCTGAATGGTATTGACTATTTCCACAGTATCATTACACTGGCCCAATTCATCATTTTCTCTTTTTACTTTACAATAGATCCCAAATTCCCGAAGAACAGCCTGGTTGCCCCCTCCCATATCCATAGTGACATTATAAACTGTTAAATTGCATTCACTTGCCTTTTGAATTATCTTAATGATAATATCTTTCGCTTCTTTAGCTGAGAATGAATTTCCAATGAAGAAGTAGGCAACAACTTGTTTCCATCTTGTTGTCAAACCACATAACATGAAAACCATGGCATGTGTTGCCATTGTGTCTTGCATGTCTTTTTCATTGCTGCCCGGGATAGTGCAAAGGCCGATGACTGACTCAGTTCTTGTGTCAAAATCATATGATGGAATGATTGCCATTTCGTCAAGCAAAAGAACACAGTCTCTTTCTTGATCTCCCATGGAGGAAGCCTTTCAATGCAAATTAACCTTCAGTATACAATATGTATGTATTCTTATGTAGCTACTTTAGAATGCCACAACACAACAGTAGTGCTTTTGTGTTTTCTATTAGTTTGTATGTTTACCTTCAATTGCAAGGGTGCAAAAACCTCATTTGTAAGACCCGAGGAAAATTCAATGTGCTCCATGATAAAATAATCTGAAGCTTTGGTTAATACAGAGAAGGTTTATTTAATGGTATCAACTTAACACAAAGCAGGCACGTGTAGAAAGGCGCCATATATATAGTAAGAACAGGAAAATTATAAATTACGGAACACGTGATTACATGACGTAACTATTATATTCTAACACTCCCACTTAATAGTTACATATTGTTCCAGTGTTCTTTAACAAGATTGAACGTTCAATAAATTTCTGAGTTTTTGGAATTGATCTTTAGATAATCCTTTGGTCATTATATCGGCTATCATATCCTTTGATGGACAATAGCAAACTTTTACTTCTTTAGATAATATTCTTTCGCGAACAAAATGGTAAGCAACATCGATATGTTTAGTTCTGTTATGGAACTTTGGATTTCGTGCGATTTCGATGGCACCTTGATTGTCTTCGTGAACAGTAGTGGGCGACACTGGTTTAGATCCCAAGTCAGACAACAATCGTCGTAACCAGATTACCTCTTGGGTAGCTTGGCTTAGGGCAACGTATTCAGCTTCTGTTGTCGATCTGGCGACGGTACTTTGTTTCTTGCTAGACCAGCTAATCGTTGAGTTAGCTAACTTAAAAACATATCCTGAGGTTGATCGACGATCATCCAAATTACCTGCGTAATCAGCATCCGAGTACCCATGTAATTCGTCATTCTTATCACAACTGAATTTCAAACCATAACTTATTGTCCCTTTTATGTACCTCAAAACTCGCTTCACTCCTTGAAAATGAGTTTTGCTGGGATCTGACATAAACTGTGACAGAACTCCGATAGATGCAGCTATATCTGGCCTCGTGGCCGTGGAAACGTATGTCAAACAACCAATCATCTGCTGGTAAACACTCTGATCGGATTGTTCCTCACCATCGCATCTCTTTTGAAATTTCTTCCCAGTTTCAATTGGTGTGTGGACTGGATTTTTCCTGATTTATGAATATTTCCTTTGTCGTTCGATCCCTTCTTATTGACATCCCAAGAACAAAGTGAATTTCTCCTTGATCCACCATTTCGAATCCTTTGCAAAGCCTTTTCTTCTCAGCATTCAGCATTTCGATGTCGTTAGAAACTGGGATTATGTCATCAACGTAGATTGCCAGTATCACAAAACTAATGTGACCATGTTCCTTTCGTTCAGTCTTCGTGTATATGCAGCTGTCTGCACCACTCTTCTGTATCCGTTTGAAACCAGGAAACTATCGAGGGTTTGGTTCCAACAACGTGCGGACTGCTTTAAACCATACAAACTTTTCTTGAGTTTACAGACATAATTGGGGTGTTCTTCGTCAGCAAAGCCTTCGGGTTGAGTCATGTAGATGTCATGATCAATTACTCCGTTTAAGAAAGCGGTCTTTACGTCCATTTGGTGTATCTCTAAATCATGCAAATTTGCCAAAGCGAGCAATGTCCTGATGCTGGAATACCTTGCTACAGGTGAGAAGACTTCTTCATAGTCAATACCATGTGTTTGGGAGTAGCCTTGTGCTACGAGTCTTGCCTTATATCGGTCGATATTGCCATTGGCGTCGCGCTTGATCTTCATCACCCATCTCGATCCAACTATATTGCCATCTTTCGGTGGCGGCACCAAATCCCATGTTTCATTCGTCAATAGAGAGTTGTATTCTGCTTCCAATGCTTGTTTCCACTTTTCTTTGTTAGCACTTGCCATTGCTTCTTTTAGAGATTGGGGTTCATCATTTTCAGACGTCAACGAATTGGTCAGCAAACATTCATCTGGACGGAATCTAACGGGCGCTCTTCTATGTCTTGTAGGACCAATGTCTTTTACCTGACGCATAAAATTTTCTTCGTAGGTATCTCCCACTGAAGGTATATTCTCTACTGGATCTTGTGTACCAGGATTTTCTGGATTGGCTTCAGGCTCTTCATCTTCTCTTGTTTTGCAGATGAAGAAATGGGTGCTATTAGAGCAGCTGGTGTCTTGGAAAGAATGAAACTTATTTTCATGGAATAGGACATCTCTGCTTCTGATGAATCGCTCTGCCTCTAATACATACAACTTGTATCCCTTAGTATTCTGAGGATATCCAACAAATATTGCTTTCTTAGCTTTGGGTTCAAGTTTGGTTCGTAGACTATCTGGGGTATGTACGAAACACACGCATCCGAATACTTTTAAATTTGAAACATCTGGTTTCTTTCCGAACCATCTTTCAAATGGCGTTTCATTCTTCAGGGTACTTGTTGCACTACGATTATGTAAATAAACAGCAGTATTTATTGCTTCGGCCCAAAAATGGAGTGGTAATTTGGCATGGTAGAGCATTGAGCGAGAACTTTCTAGTAGTGTTCTGTTTAGTCTCTCAGATACGCCGTTCTGCTCTGGGGTGTGGGGATTGGTAAGCTGGTGTTTGATTCCTTTCTCCACACAAACTTGACGAAATGATTCCGAGATGTACTCTCCTCCATTGTCAGTTCTAATTGATCCCACTTTATAGCCTAATTCATTCTCAACCACGGACACGTATTCTTTGAACTTGCACGTTACTTCCGCCTTTCGCTTAATGAAATATACTGTGACGAATTTGGTGTAGTCATCAGTGAACGTTAGTACATACTTGCTTCCACCCATGGATGCAACATTCATTGGACCACAAAGATCACTGTGAATTAATTGAAGTGGTTGGGTTGTCTTGCTGATGCTTTTCTTCGGAAAAGGTAGCCGATGCATCTTTCCTTGAGCACAAGCTTCACACTCTTTGTTGAATTCATTACTTGAACATTTCAAACCTTCAACTAGCTTCCCTTTAATCATCTGATTTAAGCAGGAGTAGTTCATATGACCATACCTGCAATGCCATTTTTCCAATGAAGGCATATCAGTACGAGCTACTTGGGCATATTCATGTGTATTCATCATATACAGCTTGTCTTCAATGATATGTCCAATGGTAATACTTCTGCCATCTTTCGAAACAACGCATCTTCCTTTATCAAACAACACTTCGGCTCCAAGCCTAGTCATGGCAGGTACAGATAATAAGTTCTTCGAGATTTCAGGCACATACAGCACATTGCTTAGGGTAAGAGTAATAACATTAGATCCATCATAACAGGGAATTTCGACCTTTCCTTCACCATATGCATCAATTGTTCTATTGTCACCAAGGTATATCTTAGATGGCTTCCCATACTCACTATAGTCGAGGAGTTGATCGACTTGAAAAGTCATATGTTTTGTTGCTCCACTGTCAATGAACCAGTTGGTGTCTTGGTCTTTACTACTAGCACTTGAGTAGGAATTAAGAGCAATGTTATCAAAATGTTGTTTCTTTCCATCTGTCTCTGCAATGCTTAAGTGATGACTTCTACGATTGAGGGGGCAATTCTTCATCACATGGCCAACTTTTCTACATTTGAAACACGTCGGACCTTGACTTGATCCAGATTCGTGGTGCTGATTCTCTTTGAACTTGCCAACATTGCGATCACCTTGACCACGTCGATTTCTTCCACGGGACGACCAATTACCTCTTTTAGAAAATAGTGCTTCATTTTCATTTCTGTCATCTGACTTTTCACATTTGCGCTGTCTTTCTTTCTCTTCACGCTTCTTGTATTCTTCGATGAGTAAACCTTTCACATTGTCCCAATTTAGTTCATCCGGTTTGGTAGCGTTGAGGCTGGAAATAAAACTGTCGTAAGAATCTGGCAAACTTCCAAGTACTACTGTTGCGAATTTCTGTGGCGTTATTTCTTCTCTTAACTCTCGCAATTGTTCTGCCAAAGACGTCATGTACATTAGATGTGTCATTATATCAGTGCCTTCTTTCATAGTAGCGGCGTAGAATCGACGATTAAGTCGAACGATTTGTGTTATCGAAACACATTCAAACTGTTTTTGTAGGATTTCCCAAGCCGCGCGAGGATCTATTGTCGACGAAATATGGACTTGTAGATCTTTCTGCACGCTGAGCGCGATTAACGAATATGCTTTGTCGGAACGCAGACGATATGAATTTCTTACAGTTGTTGTCGCCGTGTCATCCGGGGCAACCTCTGTTCCTTCGATAAATCCCCATAGACCACGCTCCATTAACACTAGCTTTATGTTATATTTCCATGACTGGTAATTTTTGCCATCGAGGGGCTCTATTTTTGTGATCTCCGCCATCTTAAACATGCGACCGTCCTGGGCCCATAACCTGATAAAATAATCTGAAGCTTTGGTTAATACAGAGAAGGTTTATTTAATGGTATCAACTTAACACAAAGCAGGCACGTGTAGAAAGGCGCCATATATATAGTAAGAACAGGAAAATTATAAATTACGGAACACGTGATTACATGACGTAACTATTATATTCTAACACTCCATTCGTCGATTAAGTGTTCTTATAGAAGGTAATGGATAATTCATCCCAAGTAAAGTGCTGTATCCAGTTGCTCCACAAGAATATCTTATTTTTATAGCACTTTCAATTGTGTTATTTGACCACCAAACTAAAAATAAAAAAATCAAATGTAAATTTTAAGCTTATATTTACTATATTTGTTTTTTTAGTGTGGAACTGCAAAATTTCATTCTTATGCTTCATCAATTTAAAAATGGTATTGCTTAACCTTTTCCATAACCAGGCTTCTTGGAAAGGTAGGCTATTTGGTCTTCATTAAATAAAGCAGATATGTTGTTTGCTAGGTTGTTATGATTTTCTTTTGCTTTTTTCAGCTCTTTCTTCAACATTTCCGATTCCTCTCGCAGCTTTGTGTGACTTTGACTATTTGTGCTACTTTGAGGATTGCTCAAGCCCAACTCAGTCACAGTCATTGTAGATTGTACAGAGTCAAGATTATTATCATCCTGGCTACTAGCACTCTCAATGGCAACAGGTTGTGGTGACACTATGTGAACAAGAAGGTAAACATGTGTATATTTCCCATTGGTCAATAATTTATAATGTACTGAAGATGCCAAAACGTTAGAGTACTGACCAGTGTTCACTTTTAATTCTCGTTTAGTTGGACTCTTTCTTCGAAGCACAGGCTTTCGATGTGTGAACAGAGTTGGTACTTCATTTGGTGGAAGTTTGCCGCGGATTTTAGGCTCGAATTGATTCGCTTCGAAGTGAACCTAAAGGAGCCGTACCACAATATCACAACACACAAATGCAAATTTGTTGTAAATCTTTATTAAAATTTTAAAATTTACATTGTCATTGTCATGTTAATTATCTAAAGAACAACAAGAGTATCATTGGCTCGCAAAGTCTCGCCGACGCCGTGTTAAAGTTCTCTCTTTTTATTGCACAAAGCCATTTCTTTCGTTTTTCGTTGTTTCTCGACCGACCCTGAGGGCATGCGGTACATTTTGTATCCGTCAGATGAACGATTATTGCACCCATACGCGCAACAAAACACCATATTTATCTTAAAAACTGTCAACACTAACAATAATCGCCATGGAAACACTAGTTCAAGTTTCAAAAGTAGGAACCAAAATGGCGGGTTTTGATAAGATGACCGAAACTGACCCATCAGCGTGTACAAATAAGAGAACAATAGTAGATGTCCCAACTCTTATTCTATAGAGGGCTCTGATGAAATTCCCTGAAATAGAAAGGTTTAATAAATTGCCATGTTTATTTAGAAATATCAATCATTAGTATTTAAACTGAACACTGACACGCAGTTTTCTCTCTTTATAGGCCCGTTTACACGAGCAATTTTAACATGACAATTTTTATGCGACAAATACATTTGACCGTGTAAAGGACACAAAATATATGTAAATATATCTGTTCGCATGGGAAACATTACATCCCGGGCGGAGAGAGAGGGTGCGTCTGCGATGCATTATGGTCAGTGTAGTGGATCATAGTTGATAATTATTGATAATCTTTGAAAACCCTAAGCATCTTTCACGATTAATAATCATTGATATGAATATTGGCTTTTCCCTTATTCGTTTAAGTGGCTTTTCCCTTCGAATAAAATCATGGATGAGATGAATGCAATGAAAAGTTTGGAGATTTGTTTCATTAATGAACATTTCGATGGCGTGAACATTGAAAATGATTATTGTTTATCGTACTTTGATGGGAAAAATGAAGAATTGGAGGCTGTTTTGCAGAAACTTCAAGCAATTAATTCTATTAGCTTTGTTACCGTCGAAAATCATAGGAAAGAGATGAGTAATAAGAGATTTACTCAAGCAAGTAAGTGCGTACGCCAAAAAAGCCGTAAACTGTATGTTTGACTTCGTCAATCTTACATCCAAGCAACTTAAATGAACACGGATAACATGAAACCAATCATGCTAATGTTAGTTAGGCCGCAAGCAAGGTTTACAAATACGTGTCTGAGGATGACTTTGAAATAAAGTCGAAAATTTACAGTTCACTTCTCGTCTTGTTTTGATTGATATTTTGCAATCTCAAGATGTCCTGTTTTTTCAGAATTTGTTTTATATTATATTTTTTAAATTGTTGGCTGGTCAGAGTTTTTGGACAAATACATGTGTTGCTTGAAATAAGATCCCGACGACGCAAATACGCTTGAATAATCCCACTTAACACACTTAATTGAAAATATCGTTTTTTCCAAAAATGGGTTAATTGGAAAACACGAAAAACAATGATCGCGCAGATGTTGTAACTCAGCTATAGAATGAATTACAATACATGTTCTCGTAGATCATGCAGTTTTTGAAGACAAAAGAGGATATCTTCCAATTTCGTTTTTTGGCAAGCCATTCTCTATAAAAAGCACAGAAACGCGGCATTGTCTCCATGGACCTAATAAGGTACGTAAATCAACATCAATGATCAATCACCAGACAACAACATCAAAGATATAAAAAACAGTCTTTTTATCAAAAATTTCTAGTTATTAACACTGCCTATAAAAATGTTTGTAGAGTTAACTATTAAAAAATCTTATTCAGTAAGAAAGAGAATTACATTCGCTATACATTAAAGAAGAAATATTTGGGCTTTTTACATATATATAGCGGGTAAAAAATTGCGTTGCTTTATTACACATCCAGGATGGAAGAGGAGGTTATAGTGTACAGTCAGTGGGAGACCACGAATATGAAAAGAAACAGCGAGTTAGACTACAAAACAGTCGAAAACTCCAGTGCCCTGCAACTTTGCAAATTCGCTGCATCGAGATTTTGATGATTACTTCATGGACAAAAACGCTTGTCAATCCAACAACGCCATAAAAGTTGCCAAACGTACGCTTCTAACTAAACTAAACGAGGCCCTTAATAAAGAGAACGCAAAAGTCCGTAGGTCCACGCGATTTTACCTAAGGATACCGCTAAGCTCTGCTCACCAAAAACACCCAGTGGGAACTGAGTTATCAATTGGCCAATACGTCGATTCACGTGTCGTGAAAAAAATCTATGATTTGGTCGAACAAAATATTACCAGCGTTGCTGAAGTAAAGCGATGGCTGGACAATTTCGTAGAGAACGATCTATTTCGAGATGTTCCAAAACACAGGTTCCCAAAAAGCAAATCGACGATACTATCCATCCCGGCAAGACATTCGAAATCACATTGGTAGAGCCATTTCTTCTTTCAAATCTTGCGACGATGACCAGGAAGCACTGGCAAGGAAAGTTGACGAGTGGAAAGCAAAAGATCCCACTTCGAATTTTTTTTATAGGATGCGAGAGGAAACGACAAAGAGAAATAACGACAGCGATAGAGTATCCGCAGAGCAAAGCTTTTTGTTTGTTCATCAAGAACAATGGCAGCAGCGTTTGTTGACAAGATATGGATACGAGCTTGTTTTGATGGATGCTACATACAAAACAACGAAGTATGCGATACCCCTGTTCTTCATTTGTGTTCACACAAATGTTGGCTACAAAGTCGTGGCCGAGTTCATGTGCCAAGCAGAGGACAGAGAATCTATCAGTGAAGCTTTGAACGTTGTCAAATCATGGAATCGTGATTGGACCCTAAGTATTTCATGGTCGACTATTCAACAGCCGAGATTGGGGCGATCGAAGAACAGTTTCATGACATAACAGTCTACATCTGCGATTTCCACAGAATTCAAGCCATGCAAAGATGGTCAAAAGCAAAGAAGCACAACCTAACACCAGAAGAACAGGAAATGTTCCTGAGCCAAATGCAGAGAATATCATTTGCAAGCACAGAGAGTGAGTATGATGCCGAAGTCACCAACTTACGGAAGTCTGGATTCTATGAAAAAGTTAAAGAATATACTGAAAACACATGGCTTTCGTGTTCGGCACGTTGGGTCCATGCGTTTCGAACACAACAAGCAGTGAACGTCGTCAACACTAACAATGGCACAGAGGCAATGAACAAGCTATTTAAATACGAATATTTACCAAGATCAGTGGATAAATCTGTGTATGGCATTGCAATCACAATTGTAGAGTGTTTCATTCCTGACTCTCACCAGGGCTATATGCAAAAAAACCTTATGTTTAGTAGTGCATATGCAATGTATAACAAAAGCGTTCCAATTTATTTAAGAGACAGACCTCCACAATTCGTAAAACATTGCCTTAAAAGTCGTTATGCCGCCACAGAGTACAATACCTCTGACATTTCAGCAGTTAATTTCCAAAAGGGGGAGTTTCATATCAGAAGTTTAGCCAACCCACGTGAAAGGCATCTTGTAAATTTGAGCAAACCAGAGTGTTCTTGCAAAGCTTGGAAGAAGACTCATTACCCTTGCAAACATTTTTTTGCAATATTTTCCGCCAATCTAGAGTGGAGTTTCGACTCTTTGCCTGATCACTACAGAAATAGCGTTTTCATTACACTTGATAATGAACATTTCACCATTATAAACTATGATATTTCAGAGAAAACAGCAGAGGAGAAATCAACAACCATAGAAACGCCGGAAGACACCAAATGCGACATCGAAAGCACTGCAGATAAATCCGAAAAGTCTTTTCATCCTGCTTTTAATTCTAAATTGTGCGAAGGAAAATTTCAAAATCACGACACACCCAAGTTGAGAAAAGTTCTTCATGAGAAACTGGATGCTATAAAAAACACGTCCTTTCTCGTTGATAAAGTTGGTGATCTTCAAGCAGCTATAGAATCGGTAGACAAAATACACCAGAAACTAATATCTTCTTGCCCAAATGCAAACGGAATTCTGCTTCGAAGTAGTCCGGTGAAAAAAACTAAAAATCAATAAAACAGAATACCATCAAGTTTTCCACAAAAGCCTACCAAAACGAAAAAATGGAGAAAAAGGATTCACTAGCTCAGGTACGTATGATGTAGTGAAGCAAGATCACAAGCAGAAGTTAAGGGGCGTATGAAAAGACATTGCTAAGTATTTACTAAAAATAATTATAATCAATATATCGTTCACCATCGGGTATGATTTTGTTTCTGTAGAAAACTGAAAAAATACCCATTTGCATAATTGAAGGGATTGAGGATGATGCACTATACAATTCAGACATTGTAGTCGCACAACGTACTAGCTTCCCGCAAGAAGACTTTGACGCAAATAAGGGTTGTGGTGATCATTCCCAACGGTAACGTATAAATCAAATGTCCATTTTTATACAAATTATTGGATAATTCACTAGTATTTATGGTATATAACAGCTTTAAATATCCTTTCTTTGAATCAAGCAGAAAACACGAACCCTTGTCAAGATTAATAAATGCAACAAAGATGGGGTTCAAATTGCACGACGTATTGTTAGATTTCGGGCAGACACAACTAACACTCGGCGATTTGTGGACACTTATTCCGCCTAAAGTGGCACGTATGCACAGTTTAGAGACATCGTCATTAACAAATTTCCATCCTGGTTGGCTAATTGATAAGGTTGGTAAGCGTCTAGGCTAAATAACCAGTGAAGACAGGGAGTTAGAAAATGGCAGCTATGGGGGCTTTCGTCCCTTTATATTTAGGGGGCATCCCCCTGTTTTCTTATAGTAGGGGGCACCCCCCTACTTTAAGAAAACAAAATAACATAATGAATCTTACTAGGAATAATTTCATATCACCATTAGGTAGTAAAACAAAAATGGGCTGTAATAGAATCGTTTTCTGTCTCGTATTAGGTATTGCTCGTAACAAACTACACTAACGTGGTTATTTCTGAAAAATTAACCCGCTCGTCATTTGCTGCAGCGCACCATACTTTGAATTTGCGATTGAATCTAATGTACACAATATGTAAAAACATGATGTTATTGCCAAATTTTTCTTCCCTATTGATGCCCCTGACTGCCCTGAGTGAAGGTATAAAATATACGAACATGATAGAGCGTAGGATTTGCGTGACTAAGGGAAAAATGGTTCTGAAAATACACTGTTACTAATAAAATGTACATATTAAGTCTTTCCTCCATACCAAGTTAGTGTTCGTTCATTTTCAGGTGGTGGAAGCATCTTTGTGGATGTTGACTTTGGAATATAATGTTTTGCTGCAGATGCATCTTTGACAACAATAGCCAAACGTGGGGCTAGCACCCGTTTGCTGTGGTCTGGCCAATGTTTTTCTTCTGTGTCAAAAATATTTGTTCCTATTAACGAGTATGGTATTCATTGGACATTGCTGGTGAGCAAATGTAGTAACTACTACATGTAACAGGGAATGCAGAGTCAGGGAGGGTGGAGGTGGGACTATGGCCCTCAATTTTGAAAATTTTAGATTTGTCTTTGGATCCAAATCTTGCAACTATTAACTTTTGCATCTTTAGTGGTGGATGGATACATACCCCCTCCCCCTTAATGAAAAATGTGCTCTGTGGTCCTCGTAAGAACACTGAAAGATTTACTCTTTTACTCTTCAAGACTGAAGGAAATTTTTTCTACCATCATATGAATTATTTATGACAATTTATATAAAGAAAAAATTTTCCACTTATTTCTGACTTTGCCAATAGGTAATTGACAAATCTAAGAAAATACGATACTTCATTGACCCCATGAATGGACAAAAGGAAATAACAATTGATTTTCAAACACACCCGCATCTTATGGACCTTATAGACAAGATAAGGTTTGATTACTTAAACAAAGATTTAAAAAAATATTGTAAAGGTGTTTACAAGGCATAACAGGATTTTCTTTGAGGGGGGTAAGAGGCAAATTACTTGCTTCCTTGCATGGCATTAAGTACAAATTAGAATCATCACCTAAGACATGTGAATGTAATTGGTCTAATATAAATAGGGAAGTAAGTTTGAAGTTTTTACATTATGCAGAGCAGAGAGATATCTTAAGTATCAAGTTTGATGAAAAAGCAATACTTAAAGTACTGCTACTGTATTTTTTTTAGTGAAATTGCTGACATGAAAACTGGTTGGCATTCTCAATTTTGGTCATGTATCGAGCCATTACATTTCTCACAGCAGGACAGCTTTAATTGTGGTGTACTCATTTGCCTTGTAAGTGAGCACTCCCACAGAGATTTTACAATCCATTCTATTAATTTATACATTGCTCATTTCTTGTAGTTAAGGCACTAGATTTCTACAAAATGCAAACCATGCCTACAAATCACAATGCATATAAATATATATAATTATATATATATGGTTATTCCTGTACATTAATTTTAACAATTTCCTTTTCACAGTTTGCAAGGTGTATTTGTGAAAATTCAAGCCTAAACAGAAATTTTAAAATGGAATTAGAGAGAGAGAAACTAATATCACTCATATTTGGCTCTTGCTATGATGATATTCATGAGTATGTTTTAACCAAAGTCTTTAAAGCATTATACAGTGGATGAGAAACTTAAATTCATTTTAAATTCATTTCTTTGTTTTGCTGTAGAAAATACTGGTGTTTGCAAAATCTGCAAAGATAATGATGGTGAAGACTGGCTTGGATGCGACAAATGCTTTCAGTTTTTCCATTCGAGCTGTTTAAATTTAGACTTTTCTGCTGCCCTATCCAACTATTTTGTTTGTCCATGCTAAAATTATTGGCATTGATATCATACAAATGTGTACATTTATCATCTTTACATTAAATAAGTTTGCAAGGAAACAGGCAGACAGTCATAAGTGCTTCAATGATTGTGCTGGATTTAGAAGAAGTAAACTTGAATAGGTAGCACTTAAAGCTTAGCACAACTTTGTCATAACGTCCTATCCATTTCCTGTATTCTGCTTACAAACCTTTTGCATTATACACTCTAAAAGCATGGTTGTAGTTTCTTAATTCAGTTGCTTAACTTAAAAGTCAAAAATTGATTACAGTTTAAATACAAAAACAGTAAATACGAAAAGGAGAATACATATACGTAACATACCTGCTTTTGACGAGTGCAGAAAAAAGTTTTCGTATTCAGCGATCAATTACGTAGCATGAACTCATACAACATGTACATCGTTTTTTGCAGACCCTCTAATCTTATCTTTTATCATTTTCAATTATAAACAGTGAACTGTAATCACAACATTGTTGTTATTACAGTTCACTGAATATAAATCATTGGGATAAATGGGATTAGTTGAATAATACCATTTTATCCACTACACTGACCATAATGCATCGCAGACGCACCCTCTCTCTCCGCCCGGGATGTAAGGTTTCCCTGTTCCGCATGGCGATTGATGTATTGCGCCCATTGTAATAATGAACAGTTACATGGTCATACTTCATTTTATGACGTACTTTTAATGCAATGTTTGTGCCAAAATGGCGCTGAACAAGGCCAAAAAAACTTCAAGCAGTAGCTATTATTACATCTCTAATGGTGCACGAAGTGAAAAAAAATGAAAGTCACGACGATGGTGGGTAAAACTGTGGAAAACTGCGCAGCGCCGATACGCACAAGGGTTAGCAAAAAATGTAATTGAAGAGATCCGAGTGACTGACCATGATGTATTTAGAAATTTTTTTTGGTAATTTAAGAAATGTGATAGTCTTTTTATTCATGCACTCTTCAAAATTAAGCTAGTCAGTGGATTGTACAATCAATTCAAATTTTACGTTCTTTTTTTAATAATGAAATTTTCTTATTTTCTTTACTTTTATTTACAAATTATAATTTTTACTACTTTTAAGGATGGGTTCCATTTTGTTTGATGAGCTATGTGAGAAGCTAACACCATTCATAGCAAAGAAAAACACCACTATGAGAGATGCTATATCTGCTCTTGATCGCTTGTGTGTAACATTAAAGTTCTTAGCATCAGGATGCTCATACAAAGATTTGATGTACAGTTTCAGAAAATCAGTTCATTGATGGTAAACATATCAAGTTGCGTGCACCTCCAAACTCAGCCTCTGAGTACTTTAACTATAAAAAACATTTTAGCATAGTCCTCTTGGCTATTGCAGATACAAATGCTAAATTCATCTCATTTGGTCTTGGAGCCCCTGGCAACCAGTCAGATGGAGGAATTTTTAAAGACAGTCACCTTAAAAACATATGCAAGACATGCTATTCCCCACAAGCTGAAGAACTAAGAGATACATTATTGCCTATACCTTTCTTTCTGCTTGGAGATGAGGCATTTGCTTTGAATGAAAATCTAATGAAGCCATATCCACACCAGATTGCAATAGGTGATGAGAAAGTTTTTAACTATAGACTTTCACGAGCACAAAGAATTGTCGAAAATGCATTTGTATTGATGTGTAGTCGATTCAGATGTCTTTTGAGAACATTGGAGTTGGATGTTTCACATGCAATGCAGGTGGTGAGGGCCTGTATGGCACTGCATATCCAAATCTAAATTGAGAGTCATCTGATTATTTACAGCAAGCTCCTGAAAATCTTCCTCCCTACCAATTACGATGTACATAATATCGACTTATTTATCAGACACCACTCTCGTTTGATCCAGAACACGGACAATTGGTTGCCCGTTGTAAAAGTATTTCATGCTTTCTTCGTTAACTGTGGCATTTAGAGATTCTTGGATTTCCATAAATTGGACTCCGCCACAAAAGTCTTGTTGATGGTCATCCAAATTATTGACAACACCCGCATGAGCACAGGTCAAGGCATAGTACATATCATTCTTAAAGCAGAACATTGTCAATGTTCCAGAACTACCCTGGGTTCTTTCCGCTATAATTTTAGACAGCATTCGAAACTTTGCTTCTTTCAATGGTTTAGATCGTAATTCGATGTATTTCGATGTATTTCCATTTTAACTTTTCATCGATCTCATTTTTGATAGCAGCCTCCGAATTTTCTTTCTCAAAATCAACTGTGACATACAAATGAGGCATTGGCATGTTCTTGTTTGGGCGAGCTATTCCATACTTCCCACTAAGCCACGAGCAACTTAAACAAGAAACGACAACTACATATTGTCTAAAAACTATTTTTCGTAATGTTCCAACATGCACAGGTCAACATACATAATCGATATCCCATGAAAGAAAAATTACCTTTGGAGAGCCTTGTGAACGTCAGCTTTAATATTCTTACTTTTGTCTAGAAGTTTATGGAAGTTGTCGTCAAGATTTGCTTCTAAATATCATAAAAATATAATTGATAACTTTGATTGTGCACCAACATTAACTACGATGAAACTTCCCTACGATAAGACATAAATAAGACTAAAAATTGACTAATCATATACATGGGATCAAAAATTACTTGCTCTGGATTTCTGGTTTTAGTCATGATATTTAATACGCTATGACGTTAATCAGGTCATATTAATCCTATTCACTAGATTAGAGTGTTTTATCACGTTTTTGACATGGTATAAGAATGGCATTTACAGATTTTTTGCAAGTAACATAAACATAAAATACCCTTTGCAGAGTTACTGGTTTTGGCCTCAATGTTTTCTTTTAAGGCGTCACGACAAAAAATTGCTATTCCAATTATTAATTTTTGTGCACAGGGCCTGTTTGGAGGAACTGTTAAGAACAGATCATACCACAATTCCCCTCTTTCAAGAACGGTTCCTCGCCAACGGAGGTGTCAGGTTTTGGACAGCAGCAATTACCCATGTATGGAATCTACTGTTAGCTACAAGTCAACAGAAGATTCTTCTTTGTTGCGTCAGTTGTAGTGGCCAAATGTTAAAGTCATTCCATATTAAACTAAAGACAAAAAAATCAACTTTGTCGTTAGAGTCTCTACTTCCAAAGCATACGAATATTCATTCATCACAAAGTAAATGAAAACTTTCATTTGGAATTTTGAATACTTACTCCACTCGAGAATTTACAACTGCCCCTACCCCCTCTACACACACACACACACACATGATGGAAGACTTAAGTTGGTATCATGTGAAGACATTATTAAAGTTCAAGAACAATCCTTTGAAGTATTTCCTAACATGTCATTGACGTAGCAAGACACATTTTTTGGTGTTATTTGCTTAGAGATTTAACGTTAGTTTTATTCATTAATAATAGCACAAAATTACAAGGTTTACAGCACCAAACCTCCCCATCACCAATGACTTGGCCCTCACTATATTTGCGAACTTCATATTAAGTAGATGACATGTGAAAACATAATATTGCTCTAAAGGGGGTTCTAAAGTTTTGACACAATAAACACAATATAAATTGCTGTTTAAGTCGCAAACACTTTTTTTTTATCCGTTTACGTACAACAAAACAAATTTATTTTTGTCACGCCTTGCGGCAACGGAATTAAATCTTACAGCTCGAAAATTTGATATTTTACCTTACAAAATGCATTTGGGATGAGCGTGCAGTCCCAGCATGTAGTATGGAAGATGAGAATTACATATGGGATTACACCTCGATTACACACGTGATACTCGTGGTTTCTACCATTGCTTTATCTGCTGCGTAACAGTGGCGTAGACTGCTTCATCAATAATTGGGGAGCCAATACTGATATATGTATGTTGTAATCTCAAGAAAACAATGGATTTCAAAGGAATTTAATACAGATTATAAATGAATATTGCCCTCCAATTATCGAGCTGGCTACGCCTATGCTACGTAACCATAGCCTGACATTGTGGATGGGTGATATGATACCATTCCTTTGGGGGATATCAAAACCAGATTTTCATACCAATTGCACTTTATTTGAACAGTTTGTTACATTTCATAATATACTATACAACAATCAAATTCATCAAAACTTGCCAAAAACATATTTGACTAAAACAAGTATACAAGTTATTTTTATTTTAAACTTTGCTTGTCACATATTTTAGTGCATAAAGTTATACAACAAGGTGCATTAAATTTGATTACTCATTTCTTTTGTGCTAGCTTTAGCATTTCAGATTTTGGTTGCATTTTTAATCTTATTTTCAGTATAAACAAAATATCACAAGTTATTCACACATATCTAAAGATTTCACATGTATGCAATTCTTCTATTTTGATTATGAAGCATTTGATTCTTTTCAAAATGTCATCAGATCAAAATAGCAGCTTTGCTTTCATGCCAGTAGATAAACCTCACAAAATTTTCATTTTATATCTGTAGAGCCCCAAACTTATTTTTTGTATAAAACGTAAAGATTTAAAATGCTATGATATCTATTATGAACCAAACCCAATCTATACATAATATAAATCTTAACATGGTTTTTATATGAACATGAAAAACATGTGACTTGGACAAGATTTGAACGCACACCTTCGGGATACTAGTCTGTTGCTCTAGATACCTGTAGAGCTCCCAAGCCCACAGGGATTGGAGACAAGTCAAATCTTTTAGGATTTACATTATGAACCAAACCCAATCTATATACAGTTAACACAAGAAGTTTTTATTTTGACAATGTCTTAACCTGGCAAAGAAATGAAGAACATAATTCTATTTGATTGTAGATCACACCAGAGAGATTGAGTACTGATAATTATGTCTTTAAATAAATTTTACAACATTCACAGGACATGTGAACAATGTGGGGAATCTAAGTTCAAACAGCAAGTCCTTTGCTTTGCACAAGTGGCATGACTATGAACTAATTTACATGGCTTGCATTCCAAATGCCAATTACATTCACTATACTTACTTTTCCTTATAATCTAATTCTTTCATAACGGTTTTTCTTCATTCCAAGAGCTTTGTGACCCATGTTCACGAGGAAGCTACAATGCAGCATAAGAGTTAACGTATCATGCATGGTTAGTTATGTTTATAAGCTTCATATTTGTGCATTTATTCTCGTTAGCTTTTACTTTCAGGAAAAAACAATTTGGGTGTTTTTGGCAAAATTATATTATATCAATGACTGCTAATTTGTCAAGCAAGTGACCTAACCCATTTTATTTTCACACATGCAGCGCTTACAGCGTTTTATGAACTCTATCTACTTTATTGATTCATGTATTTTTTATTTACACACATGTCAAGTATTAGTCTATGTCATTATCTATTTTACAATCTTGAATACTTCTTACAGTTGTGAACTCATGTTTTTATAGAGGTCAATATATTCTAGTTATTTTTACCACACAGAAGAGAACACAAACTTAAGCGGCTCGAAACTAAGAAGTTGTTTTTTTATTTACATTAATGTTCACAACACCTATCGCTGATACAAATAACGCAAAATAGTTCACATACAAACGAAAAACCGAAAGATCGAGAAAGATAAAGCCAAGACAAGACTTCCCAAAAGTAATATTTATTAAAAGGTTTACTTACGCGTTAGCCGTGTGGTTGCCGGCTTAGAATTGCGCCAACGTATCCTCTGCGTGTCGTAAAAGACGACTAAAAGGGGTTGGTGTAAGGAAGGGCATCCTACCGTAAAACATTTGCTCCAACAAAATTCATGGACTTTGGAAAAGAAGATATGGCCCCCAGTCCCCGGCAGCCCTTCAGTGGGCAGGGGGTGCGAAGAATCTCCGGATCGAATGGTTGTGGAAGTGTCACCCTTCGGGTAGGCACAGTGAACGTTGGGACAATGAAGGGAAGGAGTGCAGAAGTGGCGGACATGTTGAAGAGAAGGAAAGTTGATGTGTGTGGGTTTCAGGAGGTAAAGTTTAAAGGTGAAGGTACGAGAGTCATAAAGGGTGAAGATAATGGAGCGAGATTTAAGTGGTTTTGGAAGGGAAACGGAAGTGGCACGAATGGTGTTGGCTTTGCGATAAGAGAGGATTGGGCGAAGTCAGTTGTAGCAGTGAAGAGAGTTTCGGACAGAGTCCTGAGAGTTGATGTAGTTATTGAGGCCGAAGTTGTGAGTTTCGTTGTGGTGTATGCTCTGCAGGTTGGACGAAGTGCGGAGGAGAAGGAAAAGTTCTACGACAGCGTGTATGCAGTGAGAGCAGACATTAGAGGGCGATGTGTGATGCTTGGTGATTGGAACGGTCATGTGGAAGCGTAAGAAAAGGATACTGTGCGCATGGAGGTTTTGGAGTTGGTGATATGAATGCTGAAGGCGAGGCGATATTGTAGTTAGCAGCGAGTTGTGGGATGGTGGTAGTGAATACGTGGTTTATAAAGGAAGAAAAAGCTTGTGACGTATGAATCTGGTGACAGTAGGACGGTGGTGGATTATATACTGGTGAATGAAGAAGAGAAAAACGGATGCAAAAGTGATTGCAGGAGAAGAATGTGACCCAGCACAAGCTGCTGGTCATGGACTGGAGAATCAGGAAGGTGAAAAGGAGAAAGGTTGAGGGTAAAGGCAGGCTTTACGATCAAATGAAGGGAAGCAGTGTTTCCGTGACGAAATTGCGACATTGAATGTTGAGGTGAGACGGTGGAGGAGCGATGGACGTGCTTGGAGAAGGGTGTTTTAAAGGCAGCGGAGAAGGTATGTTGTAAAGTAAAGGCGGTGTAGTAGAAGAACAGGCATGGTGGTGGGATCAACGAGTCAGCGAAGTGATTGGCGCGAAAGTTGGCATTTAAAGGTGGAGAAAGTCGCGGACTGAAGCAGATAGGATCGATTACATCCGATTCAAGAAAAAGGCGCGAAAGGAGGTGGCTAAAGCGAAAGAAAGACATCAGAAAGAGCTTCGTAAAAAATGCAGGAGAATGGAAGCGTTGTTTAGAACTGCTAGAAGGAGCAAGAAGGAGAACGATATTTTGGTGCTGGCGTGCAGAACGATGGGGAGTTGAAGGTGTTATTGGAAGACAGGTTAGAAGTGTGGAGGGCGTACTGTGACCGTTTGATGAATGTAGAGAATGAGTGGAATGGAGAAGTTGAAGCGGATGAAGTTTTTGGGCCGTGGGAAATAGTGACTGTTGATGAGGTGGCGGCGGCTCTGCGCAAGATGAAGAAAGGAAAGGCGACGGGACCGAGTGAAGTGGGTAGCGAAATGTTGGACAATGAACTATGCGTGAGAGAGTTGTGTAATGTAGCGAACGAGGTTTTGAGGGGCTCAAAGATGCCGAGTACATGGAGAAAGAGTCTAGTGGTCCCGCTGTACAAAGGAAAAGGAGCAGCGACGGTATGTGAATTACAGGACTATTAAGCTGATGGAGCATGCGTTGAAGATAGTAGAGAGAGTGTTTGAAAGAAGGTTGAGGGAAGTTGTTCGGATGGGGGAAGAGCAGTATGGATTCATACCGGGGAGAGGAACGACGGATGCGTGTTTTGTGTTGAGGCAGCTGCAGGAGAAATTTTTGGAGAAGGACAGAGAATTGTATATGGTGTTTGTAGATTTGGAGAAGGCGTTTGATAGAGTTCCAAGAAAGGTGATCGAGTACGCGCTGCGTAAGAAAGGTGTGACAGAGAATATGGTTCGGGCAGTTATGGAGACTTATGAAGGTGTAGAGGCGGTGGTTACGGAGGAAGGTGCTAGATCTGGTGTTTTTGAGGTAAAAGTTGGTGTTCATCAAGGTTCAGTCTTGTCGCCGTTACTGTTTGCTTGTGTGATGGATGTACTGACAGAGGAAGTGAGAAGAAAAGAAGGATGCTGGTGTTTGTTGTATGCAGATGACATTGTCTTGGTGGCGGAGTCGAAGCAGAAAGTTCTGGAATGGTACCGAGAATGGAAAACGGCAATAGAAGTCAAGGGACTGAAAGTGAATGAGGCAAAGACGAAGGGCATGAGATGCTCGAGGCAGGTGGAGGTGAAGGACAGTGATAAATGGCCATGTGGTGTGTGTGGGAAAGAGTTGAGTGAATTGATAATGTGGGGAAATGCGGTAAGTGGGTTCATGGAAGATGTTCAGGTGTCCGTGGTGCATTGACAAGAGTAACTGATTTTGAGTGGGGACGTGTCGAAGTGGTGGGCGAGTCGCGATTGAACGGTTTGAACTGGGTGACGTGAGTTTGGAAGGTGTATCGGAGTTTAAATATCTGGGCGATGTGTTAAATGATGGTGGAGGGTGCGAGCAAGCGGTGAGGAACAGAGTTCAAGCAGCGTGGTGGAGTTTTAGAGTTGTCAGGAATGTTGTGCGGAAGTCGACTCGTTGAAGCAGAAGGAGAATTGTATAGGCATGTGTTAGAAGTGTTTTGGGATATGGAGCAGAGTGTTGGGCGCCGAAAGCAGAGGACCTGAGAAGATTGGCGTCGACGGAAAGGAGAATGCTTAGGATGATGTGTGGTGTAACGTTGATGGATAGGATTCGAAGTGAAGAGATTAGAGAAAGAGTTGGTGTTGAGTTGATGGATAGGATTCGAAGTGAAGAGATTAGAGAAAGAGTTGGTGTTGGTGAAGACGCCAGCGTTTGAGATGGTTTGGGCATGTGGAAAGGAGGGAAGAAAGTGCTGAAATTCGTAGAACGTTGCATATGAATGTTGATGGAGTCCGCAAACGAGGTAGACCGAGAAAGAGATGGATGGATGCTGTGAACAGTGATATGAAGGCGATGGGTATAACGAGAGATATGGCGAGGGATAGAGATGTGTGGCGTGGAAAAATTCATGGACCGGTCAACCCCCCTGGCGGGGATTAATACTGGCCGGTATATAAATGTTGTTTGTTTGTTTGTTTGTTACTTACGCGTCTATTTATAACTCTGATACCAACACCATCGTCACAGAGAATGCACAGAGTACTAACTTAATTAACTATACCACTGACTATACGACAACTTACTTCATGGATAAATATTCATAGGATTTACGAATGATTAGTGGCTAAAAAATATGGCCGCCGACCCCGTCTCGCGTTCTTAGGAATTTAATCTTCAATTCAGAAATTTCTAGAGTTGGCACTAATACAATGTTGTAATATTTAAAGGTAAAATAAACAAGAATTCAATTAAAATAACGAAACATGCATGGAGGCAATTAATAAGCTAGAGTCCCTCGGCAGTATTCATACTGAAGTTCCATACACACCAACGATACACACTACAATAATAGAATCAATGGAAATAAACTGAGAATGTAGATCTTGACCTAACAAAGAACAAATGACTGAAAGAGACAGATCTGGCTAAGTATTTAAAAGACTGAAAGTCATAAATGCAAGCTTGTGGCTTAAAACATACCATCTTTTGTCTCAAGGAAAATGCAACAAAACTAAGCCTGAATAGACAAAAATTCAACAACTTTGACTTCGTCATCATTAACATCACCGAACACAGATTTTCTTTTAACAATTTCAAAGCTGCAACAAAAGAAATACTAGGAAATGATCACAACCTTACATAAAAGTGTCATTTTATTCAAATATTACCAATTTCCCCAATTCAATAAGTTACCCTTTTTATATGTATCAATCGTTAATTATATAACATTGTAAAATCCAATGAAAATTCATAGCAATCTGGCCATGTAATATCCAGCTTGGTTATTTAATTTAACTTGCTTAAGAGCCTCAAATTAAAACATACATAAAAGAGGATCTTGAATTGTGGTATCATTGATTTCCTTCTTGCCAATTGCTTTCCCATAAACCTCTTTTGCAGACAATAAAAAGACTTCATTGATGTGGCACATTTTAGCTTTAAATTGAAAACGATAATGTTCTTGTTTTTCCATTCGTCATTTGATCTGACCATTTACACTTAGGATAAATAATGCGAAGAAAATAAAAAAAGTGAAATGAGCTGCTAAAAGGATTAATAACTCTAATCGAAAACTCTCTTCTTTTTCTAAGCAAGCATTTTTTGCAAATTCAGCATTAATGCATACGACGTGAAGGCATTTGCTGACTTAAAGCAAAGGATACGCAACATTTACTATTGCATATGTGTTCTTTACAAGTTTGACAACATAATAAGCTATAAGTTTCTTTTTACCATACGATAAAAATATGCCAAAGTCTCTGAATCACCATGATTCGTAGGTACTCTTCACTATCTTTGGATATCTGACAAATTGTTGATCTCGTCTAAAGATTTTCGACTATTGCTAGTACTATCACACATGCTTGAACCGTTATTTTCAGTTGCACAAAATTAGAAAATGATGCACCAGATACAAGTGAAGAGATTACGGTTTTTGGTAGAATATTTAAGAAAAGTGACACGTACACAGAATTAGTTTGTTGTTACATAGCTACCGTTAAGATCAGGGTAATCAATAACAGCTTCGCTTTTCTTTCCCTTGCCTTCTTCAAGTTTTACAGGATGTTCACTGTCTAACAAATGTTTGCAACAGCAATATACAGAATTCAAAACATACATGCATTAAGTACAGTGAATGAAGAAGAGAACGAGAGTAAAAATAACAAATATAGTGTCATGGACCCCTAATTTATAGCTTGGCCATCAAAAATGAAAACTCATTTCTGTGTCTTACTTGGAAAATGTTTCTCTAGATCAGGTCTTGCCTTCCAATCACTCAATCTTTTGGCTCTGTGAACTAGATAAGGCAGTTCCTCAAAAAGTCGAAGAAAATACTCTTGATAGTTTCCATCTTTAACACATGATGACAGTTGTGGACGAGGTTTATCGTGCCAATGCTGGCGAACGTTTCGTAAAAATCTTAGGCAACCTAACCATGTAGAGTCGGATACTTTATTGAAATGATTAAAGAATTCAGGATCGATACGCTCCATCCAATTTATTGAAAGATTCAACTGCTCACGAAGATTTGAGGGAAGAGAATGTGGAGATGATGTCTTTATTTCTGGTTCATTCCCAACATCACACAAAAAATCGAAATTCTCCTTATCGGTTTGTAGATAAGGGTGTTTTAACGCTTCTTTGGCCAATGGTCTGTCTTCCGGTTTTAGCTGTAGCATCCAGGATAAAAGGTCTTTGAGCGTGGTATCCTTGATTTCGTCCAAGCCAACTGGGTTTCCTTTCAAAATGCTGTCCAGTCTATGCCGTTCAATTCCAAAAGGATGTTTCCCCTTTGTTGCAACATAATAAGCCACCATTCCGGCATTCTATTTTCAATAAAAAATGGAGTTAATTTATTTGTTACTTGCAAAAATACAAGTTCAGTTCGAAAAAAATCAGAATAATGTTCTCCAATTAAGAATCGTAGCCACAAATTTTTTAGAGCAATCTAAATGAGAGACATACAATCGTAAAACCAATAAGGCAATAACAACAATAAATTCATTATCATACATATACATATTTTTATATTTTATACAGAAAAATTTGTATTTTGCCACTATATGACTGTACAATGAAGGTAAAGAAAAATTATACTTAAAAGTGATAATGATATCAGTGGCAGTGATAATGATATCCCTACCAAATACAACATTCAAATGCAAAAACAACATTGACCTGTGGTTGGCCTCTATTTCTACTTCAAGAACTTACCATAATGTCAGACTCTTTTTTGTAACGAACTTTATTGATTGTATCATCTGATGCGTCATATGACTCTGGAGCTATCCAATATTTAGCTCCTCTTTGTATGCTCCAATATGTCGAAGATTCGTCAGATAACATATGACTTATACCAAAGTCAGCGATTAAAAAATTTCCTTGTACATCTCGAAGAACGTTCGAGGGTCTTAAATCCCGATGAAGAATAGGACGCTCACCGCTATGAAGGTGAACTAGACCATTTAAGATCTGAATAAGAACTTTAGGAACGACTTTTTGAAGATCTTGCAAAGAAGAAGATTTCACATAACTCTCTAACGATTCTTCACACAAATCTAATATCATGTACAAATAATCTGTGCCTGGTTCTTCTTCAAGATACCAATAATTCACAACATAATTTGAACGCTTTGCATTCAACTCATTCAAAATTTCTTTTTCTCGTTTGGCTATCTCCGCGCAGTTATCTCGAAGCAATCGTTTTACTGCTTTTCCGTAACCATCTTTTCCGAGTCCAAGGTAAACACGAGTTCCATCACTTCCTTTACCAAGCAAAAACTCTTCAGAACAAATAACCTTTACACCATTTACAAGTTTGACTTTTCCTGGATTTTCCTTCCCATATTTCTCCATCATTCTGAACTTTGGCTGATGCATTATTGATTTATCATAACATTTCCATGGTTGAGAAAGCAATTCTTCAATTAAAAAGTAAAGTAGACTATTTAGAAAGGAATAAATGAATGTATCAAGAAGCAATTTAATTTTCTAATTATACGCACATCAA